TTATCTGAATTACTTCGTGGCCAAGTAGTACGTTCATATTAGTAATTCCATATATCTTTAATATCCGTTCCCTTTTAAAAATAGATGAAGTAAGCCCAAACTCTATTCAGGTTGGTGCTGAAGGTACGCAACGCAGATGCTCCTGATGGTGGAGCATATTCCTGCCAAGCTGTAAAGAACGGAAAATCAGATGCTGCTGACTTTAACGTTGCTGTTGAGATACCTGTAGTTCCCAGGGTGATAGTCAGTCCTGCTAAGTCGATCTTGAATTGCAAGAAAGGCAAAAGAGGATGTAAAGTTCAGTTCAAAGTCAAAACTACAGATGACTCGGTAAGATCTCTTATAAAGAAGTCCCTTCACTAATTTATCTTCAAGTAGGTCACAGTAGTAATTACTTGGGGCTCCCGGTTCTACTAATTTCATGTTCATTAAAAGTATATATAATTTTAAATCTTTCAGAAAGTTACCAAAAAGATGGTAAAGATATGTAAGTTAGAGAATGGTGTCAGAAGCCAGTGCAAGAAAGGAAAAGGCAAAAAAGGCTCATTCAAGCTCAAACTTAGCAAGAATGTGGAGGATAGCAGTTACATGTAAGTCAATTTGTCTTTTAAATTAAGAAATTTGTCTTATTACTTTTGAAAAGTCAAATGTAAGATACGAAAAAATTGGCGGAAGCATGAATTCGAACCCTTCGAGACAATCAGTAACACACCTCATTAGTAAGTATCAAGGCCCTTGCTTTTCAGATTCATATTTCATTTTGAATAACTCTAATTATATTATATTTCTCTATCTATATCTCTATATAACACGTCAAGATGATTTAAAATCATATGGATCTTTTATATTTATATTTAAAGTGTGTTACTTCAGTTGTGTGGTTACACTTGATGGTAAAGAATATGTCTCTGACGCAGCATCAGTAAAAGTCCAATAGTGGGGTTGTGGTAGATAAAAATAAGACAGCTTGGACGGTGATGGTAATAGCACGACTATACCATACAAAAAATATTAAAAAAAGAAAACTGAAAAACCTGACAGCCTTTGCATAGATGAAGAAATCTGTTTACGTCTAGATCAGAACAATGCATTTAAAATACAAAAAAAATTAGCTAATACAAAAAAGAACTTATGAAAATTCAATTTTTCTAAAATTCAGCTTTTATTGTTATGGAAAAAAATGGAATTATTGTCACAATTATATTTTATTTTAATCAGATGTTTCCCTTGTTTAATGTTTACTACTAATAAATAATGAAAATAAACATTAAGCAATCATCTTTATAGTTTATTTCATTTCAACAATTTCACACATAATCGATGCATTAAAGTTTAGTTCAAACATCAACCCTCGAACAAAATGGTCCGCTACACTCTTTCGGGGAAAAAAATGTTCAGTCTTAATTGCTCAGATATAGCACGTTTTTAAAAGTTTGTGAACCCCAAACATGAACATAACGATCAACATTTCTCCTCAACCTTGAGAATAAACACGACATAAACCTTTCCCTCAAAAAACGTGAGTTTTATACTCTCAATCGCCGTTCAGTGTTATTACACATCTAACTTTCAACAATGCCATTAGTTCACAGGCTCACCATACGAAACCGAGACAATGGAAAATGATTCAAGTGTAAAGCTTGAACGATTACACCATCAGATGAGTTACATTGTGTACATTGAGTGTTTCTAATGAAGTATTCATAAGAATTGAGGGAGCCAATTGAGGGAGTAGACACTAGACATGTGTGATGATGTGACGTCACGATTTTTACTTTACTTTACTTCATTTGCCGGATGTGGTTCTGGGACTTGTTATGAAACAAGACGTTCCTGAGGACAGAAATACAATTCCTTAGAACCTGTAAAGAGTATGACAGCATAGGTGTACTCTCACAATGAACACACAGATAGCATTCCCTGGCAATATCAACATTTTAAGTACGCGTCAATCACGATTTAATCACTCAACTTCAAAGCTTCCTGTAGGATTTTCCCCAAGCTAAAAACGTTGCCTCCGAGTGAAATTGAGTTATTTATACATTGATAAAGACCTCAAGACCTGTGCTTCAGGAAAAGTAATCCTCACTTCCTGCAGATTTTTACAACTTTTGTGCGTAACTGACTGTATTAGACTGGGATGCTTTAACTACTAACTGAGCTATTTCTTATGATTTCCAGCTTAAAGTTATTATAAAGTAATATCATAGTTGTTTAGCTTATACACAATGTGTTGGAATCTAATGTTGTAAAAATCTACTAGCCGGCTAGTAGCCACTTTTGTAATAACAGCTCCTCAACTTCACATTACCAAACCGGCTACTAACCGGCACTTAAAAAGTGGTCACTAGCCGGCTACTAACCGCCTAGTAGCCGGCTAGTAGCCACGAGATGGACCACGTTTTTCCCAATTTAACTTTAGAAGATTGTCACGGGAAGAATTTTTAAGATAGGCATAAAATGATATTTCACATGTCTATAGTTCAACTAATTGAATTTCGATTAATAAAATTTTTGAAGCATTTAGTCGAGGGCAAATTGAGGCTAACGAGTGCCTCCTGTATCATAGAAACGGTACAGTGAAACGACAATTAAACTTAGTGAAACGACAATGGGGGTCACGACGTGATACAATAATAATTTCTAAACGCAAATTTCACAGATTGGATGGACTTTAAATTTTGCACAGAAACCAACTATTCAGTTAATTGATGATGGTATGAAACCAAATTGGGGTACTGGAAGTAAAAATTCCGAGTAAAATTGTAAAATCATATTGTCCCAATCTCTGTCCCATTTTCAGTTTTTGAAGATGAAATTTCCAGGACCGAATTTTTACAGATTTGACTGAATTTCTCACCCGCAACCAATTAGTAAGTCAACTATAGGTGGCATATAACACGATTGGGGTGCTGGAAGTTTGATAACGGTAACAGGAAGCCCATAGCAGAAAGCTCAACAAAACGAAAAGTTGTATTTTTAAAAGTCTGTCCCATTTTCAAATATGAAATTTTCTGAACACAAATTTGACAGATTAGATGACATTTTTACCAAGAAACCAATTAGTCAGCTAATTGATGATGGTATGAAACCAAATTGGGGTACTGGAAGTCAAAATTCCGAGTAAAATTGTAAAATCATATTGTCCCAATCTCTGTCCCATTTTCAGTTTTTGAAGATGAAATTTCCAGGACCGAATTTTTACAGATTTGACTGAATTTCTCACCCGCAACCAATTAGTAAGTCAACTATAGATGGCATTTGACACGATTAAAAATTAAGGTGCTGGAAGTTTGATTTCGGTCAGAGGAAGCTCACAGGCTCACTGCAGAAAGCTTAACAAAACAAAAATGAATATTTTCCAATTTCTGTCCCATTTTCAAATATGAAAATTTCTTAACACAAATTGGACAGATTGGATTGACGTTTTGCACAGAGACCAATTAGTCAGTTAATTGATGATGGTATAAAACTAAAGTCAAAATCCCGAAGAAAAATGAAAAATCATATTGTCCCATTTTCAGTTTTGAAGATGAAATTTCTAGGACCGAAAATTTACAGTTTTGGCTGAATTTCTCACATGAAACCAATTAGTCAGTCAACTATATAATAGATGGCATATGACACGATTGAGGTGCTGGGGGTTTGATTTCGGTAGGAGGAAACTCACTGCAGAAAGCTTAACAAAACGAAAATTCATATTTTCCAATTTCTGTGCCATTTTCAAATATGATATTTCCTGAACAGAAATTTGACAAATTTGACATAATTTTTGTCCAGTGACCAATTAGTGAGTTGAAAATGATTAAAATTACATTTTCTGGACTGGAATTTAACAGGTTTTACTGAATTTTTAAACATAGTCCTAGTCAATAGTAATAGTAACAAATTTAACAGCCAAAAAACCACTGACTGAGAGTACAAAGCGTTGTATTTGTATCGTGCTTTTAAAGTAACATAGTATTAGTATGTAGTAATAGTATTCAACTGTCCAATTGATCGACCTCTGATATCACATATCGGTCATAGTAACTAGTAAGCATAATGTGATAATGTCATCTATGACATACATGGTTAAAAAATACCGTGAAAGGATCAAAGTTGCATCAGTCCATTTGAGATCAAGCGAGAGTTTTCTTATTGGAGCATGCATGTAATAATAGTCTAATTATTGAAGAGACAAAAGACTGTTAAAGTGTCGTGACTTTGCTTACTTCTACGAATGATGGCAGCAAGCATCATCATCTGACGATGTTATTGCTCTTGACTATTTATAATAATGTTTTAGTTGCGTGTAAAATCAAGTTATGCTTACTATGTGCCCAGCTAACGCACTCCAAATCATCCGTTGGTCACTTGTGCAATGCTTATTTGTTAGTCTCTTAGATATTGCAAGGGGATATGGAATTGCTTATTTCGTTATTCATTAGTTAATCAGTACAGTACTAATAGGGATCGTTCACATATTACGCATTCACTGAGGGGGGGGAAGGGGTTTCTGACTTTAAGTGATTATATTACGCTAGTGTGATTTTAATTTTTAGTGTGATTTTAATTTTTAACAAAAGACCCCTTGTTAAGAAGTAGTGTACCTCTCCTAAGTCCTAACTTCTTCTCAAAAGCGATTTACTAATTACTATATATAGTAAATTACATATAATTTCTTCCTGCAGTCCAATTACGTGCATTTCTGTTTAGTAACTGTAACTTTTGTTTGAAGTTAGATAGAAACTAAGAAACGCTTCGACTATCAGTAATTATTCTTAGGAAGTTTAGCAGTTCCTGTGAATTTGTTGCTACAGCATTTGGAGCTACAGATGTGTGAGTTGGCTTGTGGCGCCACATACACACTGTGACATTGAAACAGAGGGCTAACCTTTAATTAACTTAAATAAAAGATAAGAAAAAATCCGCAAAACCGCACCAGTTTTATCTTCTCTTGTATTATACTACCCGTTTACAATTTAAACCATCACACTCACAAACGAGCTATGAACCAGCAGATGTGAAATGGCTTCCTCAAGCGGCTGTCCAGACAGCCAGATGGGGACCCCAGGCCAGAGGCATATAGAGGAGTGGTCATCTGTGACGAGCAACATTAACGACAAGCTGGTTAAACTGGAGGAAGACAACGACGGCAATTTGGAGGAGATGGAGGACTGTTTCGATACTTTGACAGAAGAGGTGCACATATTATGGGAGGAGCGGGTGGAATCATTTACATATTGTGTTTTATGGCATATTACATCGAACTTGAGTTAGTTTTATTATTACACTAACGAGAATTTGTATGTCTTTCAGGAGGTAGAACTGTTCCTAATGGATGCCTTGTGGGTAAATGAACGACTTCTCGATTATTCAGACACGCTGAACGAGATATCTGACAGCATCGACACTCTAAACTTGGCGGACCCTATCGTGCTGTCTGAAGAAGAAGAGGGAGAATCCTCCTCTTCAGGTGAATTAAAACTGTCAAATATTGATATTTACTTTTTTGCTCCGTCGAATTGCCGATTCATTTGTCAAGTGAGAAACAATTAACCATGTCAACTTTTAGGAATGAATTATCAGCGAGAAGATGTAATGAAAGAAGAGTTGGTGGTTACTAAGGCAACTGAGAGGCCCCCATCTCGTCTTCCTCCTCTACAGATTTGAAAACGATAATACATTGTCGGATGACTTTGTTAAAAGCAGAATTTTCTAGAGGACGATTTCGTTCGACAAAAAATTTAACAGAGATTGTATAATTTTCATTTAGCTTGTTTTGAATTTAAACAGATTTATGATGACAATATACCCCAAAGTGAATGTGATGATATAACAATAACATTGCAAATTTGTACAGATATCTTCATTGTTTTTAAGTGTCATATCAAGACAAAATTATTTAACAAAATATCACCCCTCGCAAGCACATACAAAGATTACAACAGGAATTGAATCATAATAGGCGGAAAGACCAGAGTCAATAACTCTTAAAGATATGAAGTATTTAACATTATATGTGCTTACATTCGTGTCTAATTTAGAGAACAAATTTAACGTCATAGTCGGTCCGACAAAACAAAATGTTAAACAACAAAACATTATGTCAAAAAAAAGTAACACACAGTTTCGTTAACTCGTTAACTCGTTATTTCATTATATAATGTAGTTACATGCAACTTAATGCTAAAAACGCTGATAAACTTCAAAAATAGACATGCTCCCGCCTTGCTAACAAAGCACTGAATATACCAATCTGAAATGTAAATTCGAAATTAAAATAAATTATTCTGTTGTTCAAATTAATGTCCATTACGACTCCGCTTTGACAGGTACGGTCTGTTTTTTGAAGCGACAACAAATAAACTCAAAGCTCTCTGTTATCACCAGATTTAGTAAACCTGAAAATAAATTATCATTGTTTAGCTTCGGGACACAGATGCACGATATGAAAGAGAAAACCAGCGGCTACCGAACTAGTATTACTGGTGTGGAGAGGAACCAGATTTGTTTTGACACGTAACAATTGACGTGACAATGTCACGTCATGACATTGACTCTTGGATTTGACTGAACACTGCTGGGAACATATTGGTTGATTGCTGTCACATGTCAAAGCTAAAACGGCTCCAACATTACGGAATTGTAACCTAACTAACACAACAATTAGTTCTCACCTGAAGTACTGATAACCCCCCCGACAACGCCTAACATTCTGGTCAGGAATATGACCCAATTCTTCTCCTTTACATGCACTATAGCTGATATGGGTGAGAACTGGTACTTGATCACGATACCAGCTGTACCGTGACTACCTGACGCTGGGTCAATCGCTCGAATCTGAATCAAGGTTTAAGATACTCAAGTAGCATTGGATTTGTTAAAAATTAGAACATTTACACGTGATACTATTTTCTAGTAGAACTTGAATCGGATCTATGAACCAGTCATAGGGAATAGGGAATTAGTCAAACAAATTATTATATATCGGCAGAAAATAGAAACAAGTCCTATAGGAGCCTAACCTGTTCTTGAACTGTGTATTGATACGTTTGCACGTTCAGCGACTCAGTTATATACTTCGTGGGTACAATCTGAGGAATAGGTTAATATTAGGTAATATATTATAATATGTATATTCTCCTTTATCTAATTACTGTAAAACAAGACCTTAATTCCAAATTGGTATAAAATGAGGTAGACTCTTCACTCTTATGCCACTTCACCTGCCGCACACCGTAAATTCAATTACAACATGGACAGTTGCTGAGTTGCTATCAATGTGAACATGTTCAGTAGCAACCGGTCCGTGAAATAACGTGTTAATCATGCAACATTCAACATAGTTTGAAAACTGGAAATGCAAACAGGTTGAAGAAAAGTGTGTTATAAAAGTATATTGCATTGTTATTTTATAAGCAAGCAATGGAATGATAAACATTTAGGTAAATATATAATGTTAATCTAAAGACAAGTAAACAAATCTATGTTCATGAGTGAATCAGTGATGAGGACATAAAAAAGTGTTCGCCGGTCATTCCGAAAAAAACCGTATGCTTGTAGCTCACTAGGGAAGGATTGATCTGAACGGACAATCTTTAGTGTTTAGCTCAAGTCTTTATTTATGTTTTAACAGCTGTATGTGGTCGATCCCAGACTTTCAATCAATTACAACTTTACAAGCTGGAATTGCAGTGCTCGCGCGCGCGCATACGTGTCACGTGACCTAAGCGCGCGGTACTTTATTTACAATTATGGTACCGCGCTCAACGCAAACCAATATTCACAGTGGAACCGGTACAGATGTCGTGGAGATTTTAATAGGACAACAATAGAAAGTCTCTGAACGCTGTAAGATACTGGCGTCCCTGGCAGGAAAACAGTGGGGCTGGAGAAAAGAAAACCTACGGAGGGTGTACATTGCTACCCAGAGGAGCGTACTTGATTATGCTGCAGCTGCTTGGCAACCATGGCTATCTGCTACTCAACTCAACAAGCTAGAAGTAGCACAGAACAAAGCCCTGAGGCTAGTCACTGGTCAATACTCGTCAACACCTACAGAAGCGCTAAGAATCGAAGCTGAAGTTGAAAGCTACAAGACACATAGTGAGCGAATCATCACTATTGCTGCAGAAAAAGCAGACCGACTCCCTTCAGATCATCCAAGGCACGCAGCACTACGCCCTAAAACACCTACCACCCACAGAAGCAAGATCCGTAGTTCCTGGAGAGAGAAAACTAACTCCACCAGAGGGCAGCTACCAACTCACGGAAATCCCGTAGAAGCCCTCCCATCTCCATTCCAAAAGCCCTGGGAGGATTCAGAAGAACAGAGGAAAAGGAACTGGAAAGTGTTCACAGCACTACCAGAGACTCCTATGCTAGTACCCAAATCCCATCCAGCTGTGCCTAACAACCAACACCCTTTCTCCACACGACCAAGAGACACTTTCTGGGACACAAGCGATTCAGCTAACGAAAGCTCTGCCAAAAGACTGACCGCCCAAAGTGCTATCAGAATGATTGACAAGTACGACATATGTACTACCATCTATACTGACGGATCATGTAAAGGTGGAACAAAGGAAGGTGGAGCAGCAGCAGTTATCACCACAGGGTCAGCAGCTAACCCCGTTATACTGGAGACCATAAAAAAGAAGGGAAATAAGTTCACCTGCTCCTATGGTGAGGAGAAAACTGCACTTACGGAAGCCCTGAAATGGATGACAGAGAACCAGAAGTATGATGACACCATCATATGCTCTGATAGCCAGGCATTACTGAATAGCATCGATAGCCTGAACCCAGACACACAGGATATCAGGAAAACTCTGGAATCACTCCATGGGACAACGTACCTGCACTGGATTCCCGGCCACTCCAACATTCCTGGGAACGAATACGCTGACAAAGCAGCAAAGGAAGCAGCACAACTCCCGGACCTGGGCCAAGGACAGTCTACAATCTCATACGGAGTTGCCAGAGCAGTAGCAAAGGCACACATCAAGGATAGCGACCCCCAACACCACCTGGTCTCCCAGACTTACAAGGGATACAACAGAAAAAGAGCGGACAGTAAAATAGAGAGCAGGAAAGACGGAGCGCTGCTAGCACAACTCAGAGCAGGCCATTGCCTTCACCTGTCCCACTACAAAAATAGGATCGACTCTACAAAGAGTGCAACTTGTCCCCGTTGCGGAGAAGAAGAAGAAACGGTACCACACTGGATTCGGTGCCCTGCAACGATCAGGACGAGAGAAGAAATCTTCGGAAAATCTGACTTAAACTTGGACATACTAACCACCAACCCGATAGAAATCCTGGCGTTTGCTAAGAAGACCTTGCTTGAGGGACCCTTAGACGCCTAGCCCATCACCACCACCACCACAACAACGTTACTGATGAGTGTACATACTCTACTAAATGTTAATCAGGCAATTAAGTAATAACACTGACATAGGATCATGTAATTACAGACTGTATTACCTGGACATAATATTGAAAGCTATATTCCGAAGTCGGAGCGATCTTGTGCTCTCCGTCCAGTGCGTACATCATGCCGTTTACTCTGTCTCCAAATGTTAATCCGTCAATACGGTGCGAGAAGTTTTTCTGAACCTCTCCGAACTGGAGGTGAGCGTGCCCTAACCCAGCTATCTTCACAGATCGACCTGGATAGTTCTAATGCTATTATGGACTGCCAGCTCTATGTTCGTTTTTAAAAAGAACATGGCAAGAGTGATAAACAATACTAAAATCATACCAACGCTAAACTGGAGAGACGAAAAATGTATTGTCACAGGTGAAATGGTGCAGTAAGACTAACCTGATAAAATATGGAAGTTTCCTTTAATTTTATCAACAGGAATACTGCCATGTAATCTACACGCATCTTTAGGAACCTCTATTCCGTGATCGTCACGAGGCACAAGTTTACGTGATATGTCCCCCATCATATCTGAAATGAAATGATGTGTTTTAACTGAGTGGAGACTCTCATTTTGGACAAGATGTTCAAATAACGACCGAGACTCACTCAAAAAGGCGAAAACTGACAATTATGTCTGCAATACACTGATAATATGGTTAAGAGATTTTGACGTGCACACAGCGGCAGAATTTCCAGGAGAAAAGAAAATGAATGAAATGAAACCTTCCAGAGAAGCATGAGCTTGTCCAAACTCCTTGACAGCGCCTTGTAATTTCAGGAACATCTTCTGATTCTCAGCTAACTCGAACGGTACTAGTTCCTCCTTCAACAACTCAGTGTTACCTGGTAAAGTATTTAGTATTGATGTTAGGGATACCTCACTAAAATAGGACGGAAGCCAAGGGGTATTATGGGGGGCATAATTATGGGGGATTTCCAAAAAAACCCCAAAATGCTCATTGGCTTCGGTAACCGCGACAACCTCACTCGGTATGTGTGTAACATCAACATCTCATTTCCTAAGGCTTATAAGCAACTCAAATTGTACAAACCTATAAATGCTGTTTTATTGGGGGGGGTGTCATGTCCGTCTATGTCCGCCTATGTCCTGTCCTTTTTGGATTCTATGAGACAACGGACGTGTTTTTTGGGACATTGGCGGACACGGACGGACATTGGCGGACTTGGACGGACATTGGCGGACTCGGACGGACATAGGCGGACCCGGACGGACATAGGCGGACTCGGACGGACATTGGTGGACATTAGCGGACATTGGTGGACATTAGCGGACAAGCATTTTGAGAATTTTTCGCAACTTGTATTATAATCTTGTACAAAACAAACGACTTATTAATCACACTAAAGCTATTAATAGCTTTAACTTATTATATCAAATTATATAGGGACCCAGGAAAAGGCCACAGGAGGAGGAGGAGGAGGACTGGGGAGGAGGAGGACTGTTGAGGACTGATGAGGAGGACTGAGGACGAGTAGGAGGAGGACTGAGGAGGGGAGGAGGAAGAGAACTGGGGAGGATCAGGAAGACCCAGGAGAAAGACCCAGGAGAAGGACCCAGGAGGAGGAGGAGGAGGACTGAGGAGGATGACTCAGGAGGAGGAGAACTCAGGAGGAGGACTGAGGAGGACTGAGAAGGAGGAGGACTGAAGAGTACTAAAGAGTACTGAGGAGGATGGCTGAGGAGGATGGCTGAGGAGGATGGCTGAGGAGGATGACTGAGAAGGATGACTGAGGAGGATGACTGAGAGGGAGGAGGAGGATCAGGAAGACCCAGGAGGAGGAGGAGGAGGAGGACCCAGAAGGAGGACCTAGGAGGAGGAGGAGAACTGAGGAGGATGACTCAGGAGGACTCAGGAGGACTGAGAAGGAGGAGGACTGAGGAGGATGGCTGAGGAGGATGACTGAGAGGGAGGAGGAGGAGGAAGAGGAGGAAGAAGACTGAGGAGGAGGAGGAGAAGGACTGAGGAGGAGAAGGAGGACCCAGGAGGAGGAGGACCCAGGAGGAGGAGGACCCAGGAGGAGAACCCAGGAAAAGGCCCCAGGAGGAGGAGGAGGACTGGGGAGGAGGAGGACTGTTGAGGACTGATGAGGAGAACTGAGGACGAGGAGTAGGAGGAGGACTGAGGAGGGGAGGAGGAAGAGGACTGGGGAGGATCAGGAAGACCCATGAGGAGGACCCAGGAGGAGGAGGAGGAGGAGGACCCAGGAGGAGGAGGAGGACTCAGGAGGACTGAGGAGGAGGACTGACGATGACTGAGAAGGAGGAGGACTGAGGAGTACTGAGGAGGATGGCTGAGGAGGATGGCTGAGGAGGATGGCTGAGGAGGATGACTGAGGAGGATGACTGAGAGGGAGGAGGAGGAGGACTCAGGAGGAGGACTTAGGAGAAATGAGAAGGAGGACTGAGGAGGAGGAGGAGGAGGAGGAGGAGGAGGACTGAATAGGAGGAGGAGAAGGAGGGGGACTGGGAGAGGACTGAGGAGGAGGACTGATGAGAAGGATGAGGAGGAGGACTGAGAACCGAGGAGGAAGAGGACTGGGGAGGATCAGGAAGACCCAGGAGGAGGACCCAGGAGGAGGAGGAGGAGGAGGACCCAGGAGGAGGAGGAGGACTGAGGAGGACTGAGGAGGAGGATTGACGATGACTGAGAAGGAGGAGGACTGAGGAGTACTGAGGAGGATGGCTGAGGAGGATGGCTGAGGAGGATGACTGAGGAGGATGACTGAGAGGGAGGAGGAGGAGGACTCAGGAGGAGGACTTAGGAGAAATGAGAAGGAGGACTGAGGAGGAACCTACCTTGGGTACCTTGGGTTCGTTTCGGGCTAGCACGCCCAGGCCAAGACATCTTGCGTCTCCACCACCGGTGTCTCCGTTATCATGTCTTGCTCACAGCCCATTCCAAGATTGAATTGCCATTTGCCCCTGTATATCCAGGGGTAGGAGGGGTGTCGGGGACGGTATGGAGAAAGCGATCAAGTGCTGCCTTGAATTTTGGCAAGGTTGGGATAGACTTGATGTCGTGAGGCACAACGTTATACAAAGCAGAGGCCACTGAAGGGAAAGAATGGAACCTCATGGTGTTGATGCTTTTGTATTTTGATCCGCCAAGAGGACGAAGACATGTAACTCCTCTTCTTTGAGAGTGTTGGAAAGAAATGTTTACACTGTTGGGAATCTCACCGTAGTAAATTTTCCAGACAAGGATGATCATGTACCTCTCGCGGCGGCGCTGTAGGGAGTAGAGATCAAGCTGCTTCAGGCGCTCCCAGTAGCTAAGATGCTTGTATCCTGCTATTTTCGCAGTGAATGAGCGTTGGATCGACTCAATCATGATTATGTCACACTGCAGGTGAGGCGACCAGAGAGCACAACAATACTCGGTAATAGAGCGGACGTATGTCTTGAAGAGCATCATCATCGTGTCTTTGTCTCTGGTAGAGAAAGTTCTCAGTACCCATCCAGCTTTGCTCGCTGCCTCAGAGGACTTTCTTGTGATGTGTTGACGCCAGGAGAGATCACTGTCAACATACACACCGAGATCTTTCACGACATCATCAGAAGATATCGATGCACCAGATGGTAAAATGTAGGGTTTCTTTAGCTCAGGGTTCTTACCATGCTGGAGAAGTTGGAACTTACTTTCGTTTAGCTCCATGTTGTTTGCTACTGCCCATCGCACTACTGCACAGAGATCTTCCTGGAGACATTTGCAGTCGGACGGGGAGCTGATGTTTTTGTGGAGCTTGGAGTCATCAGCAAACACTTTTACTTTGCAATGTTTTACAACTAGGAACAGGTCGTTGATATACAAAATAAATAGCAGTGGGCCTAACACAGTGCCCTGTGGTACCCCACTTAGCACCATTATGACGAGAGATTCAATACCATCGACAACGACATGTTGGGTTCTTCCACTGAGGAAGCTTTCCAGCCAGCGGTGGGCGTTGCCCTTGATACCGTACATATGGAGCTTCTTCAATAGTATAGCGTGATCTACCTTATCGAAGGCTTTGCTGAAATCAAGATACAGAATATCAGCATTTTCGTCACCATCTAAGTCATCCATGATGTCTTGGACGTGGTGAAGAAGTTGAGTAAGACAGCTTCTTCCAGCTTGAAAGCCGTGTTGATCGTGGTTGATGATGTCTTGAGCTACAATGTAGTCAACCAGCTTAGCGCGGACGACCCTCTCGAACATCTTTATGAGGTTGGATGTTAGAGATACCGGTCGATAGTTGGCAGCAATCGACCTTTTCCCCTTTTTAAAAAGGGGGATAATACTCTGGTTCTTGAATTTTGTAGCTATTTCACCAGAGCTTAGCGAAGCTTTCCAAAGCTTGGTTATCACAGGAGCTAGGACAATTCCACATTCCTTGAGGATTAGGACTGGGAACTTGTCAGGTCCGACTGCTGAGAAACGATTCATCGCTTTGATGGCGTCAAGGATATCTTGCTCATTAAAGTCGATGTCTGTGATAGAATGAGGTTGCTCAATGACCTTGGACGTCCGGACTTCGGCTAGATTTGCCTTTTTGGGGTCACTGAAAGCACTCGCATATTGATCCTGTAAGATATTACCCATAGTGGCTGGATCAGACTGGAGCTTGTCATCACTATCCAATAGGGGTCCGACAGATGCAGCAGGGGTTTTAAACCTCTTTGCAAAGGTATAAAACGCCTTAGGATTAGTCTTGATCTTACTAAGAGCAACAAGTTCTTCTCTGGCTCGCTGCTGTTTAATGGAGGAGGAGGAGGAGGAGGAGGAGGAGGAGGAGGATCAGGAGGACTGAATAGGAGGAGGAGAAGGAGGGGGACTGGGAGAGGACTGAGGAGGAGGAGGACTGATGAGAAGGATGAGGAGGAGGACTGAGGACCGAGGAGGAAGAGGACTGGGGAGGATCAGGAAGACCCAGGAGGAGGACCCAGGAGGAGGACCCAGGAGGAGGACCCAGGAGGAGGAGGAGGACTCAGGAGGAGGAGGAGGACTCAGGAGGACTGAGGAGGAGGACTCAGGAGGACTGAGGAGGAGGACTGACGATGACTGAGAAGGAGGAGGACTGAGGAGTACTGAGGAGGATGGCTGAGGAGGATGGCTGAGGAGGATGGCTGAGGAGGATGACTGAGGAGGATGACTGAGAGGGAAGAGGAGGAGGACTCAGGAGGAGAACCGAGGAGGACTGGGGAGGATCAGGAAGACCCAGGAGGAGGACCCAGGAGGAGGAGGAGGAGGAGGACCCAGGAGGAGGAGGAGGACTGAGGAGGACTGAGGAGGAGGACTGACGATGACTGAGAAGGAGGAGGACTGAGGAGTACTGAGGAGGATGGCTGAGGAGGATGGCTGAGGAGGATGACTGAGGAGGATGACTGAGAGGGAGGAGGAGGAGGACTCAGGAGGAGGACTTAGGAGAAATGAGAAGGAGGACTGAGGAGGAGGAGGAGGAGGACTGAATAGGAGGAGAAGAAGGAGGGGGACTGGGAGAGGACTGAGGAGGAGGATGACTGATGAGAAGGATGAGGAGGAGGACCGAGGAGGAAGAGGAGGAGGATGAAGAGGAGGAGGAGGACCCAGGAGGAGGAGGACTGAGGAGGAGGACTGAGGAGGATGACTGAGAGGGAAGAGGAGGAGGAGGAGGAGGACTCAGGAGGAGGAGGAGGAGGACTGAGGAGGACTGAGAAGGAGGAGGACTGAATAGGAGGAGGAGGAGGGGGACTGGGGGAGGACTGAGGAGGAGGATGGAGGACTGAGGAGAAGGATGAGGAGGAGGACTGAGGAGGGCTGAGGAGGAAGAGGAGGAGGAGGACCCAGGAGGAGGACCCAGGAGGAGGACTCAGGAAGAGGAGGAGGATTGGGGAGGAGGAGGAGTGTTGAGGACTGATGAGGAGGACTGAGGACGAGGAGGAGGAGTAGGAGGACTGAGGAGGGGAGGAGGAAGAGGACTGAGGAAGATCAGGAAGACCCAGGAGGAGGCCGAGGAGGAGGAAGAGTAGGAGGAGGAAGCATCTAAATGTTATTTCCATTTTTGTCCGTTTTTGTCCATTTTTGTCCGCTCTATTTTTTGTCCGTTTTGAAAATATAGGGTACCGAACGGACAAAAAACATGATCCCCCTATAACAGCAAAAATTGAACATTTTATTTAGCAATTTAGGTGTCCATTAATGTCCGCTAATGTCCGTACATGTCCGTCTATGTCCGCCTATGTCCGTCTATGTCCGCCTATGTCCGCCTATGTCCGCCTATGTCCGCCTATGTCCTGTCCTTTTTGGATTCTATGAGACAAGCGGACATAGACGGACGTGACACCCCCCCCTTTATTTCAGTAATTACAGCTAATTTATGGGATAATTTTGTAAAGTTTAGTAATACTGCATGCTTGTACACACAAATCTTAACGGAGAAGTGTTATGAATATGGCAACCAGTGTAGGAGAAGGTTCAAGGAAAAAAGGAAATCAAATCAACTGTATCGTGATATGATTGAAACCGTTTAAAGTCTGATCCGCGATATCAAAACATTTGTTCCTAAACTTTAACGTGATGTATTGCGGATAAACATGTTTCGAAATAAATTGATAAATTAATAATTTCCATATCAGCACGCTTCAGACTGTTAAAATCCCGTCAATTTATTCAAATCAACAACACAATTTGTTTAAATGAGATTTAAAATATAATAAACGCACCTAAATCCCGTCCCCAAATATCGAGCACATCAGCTCCAATAAGGTTACACGGCATTTTAACCGTCATGTCCACGTTGATGGACAGTTTGGAGGTCTTATCATGATCTACTTTGTACTTGTACTCCATATCTGTGGATATAACCAGTAAAACCGAGTGATTTGGGAGGGAAGATTAAATCTTGACATCCAGAGTCTTAATAATATAATATGATATTTATAATTTGTATGTTTAGTTGGTTCACGTATAGTACCCGCTATAGTACCCGCTAATCATTAAAACCAGTATTAACCTGTATTTAGTTTGAAGCGATGAAAATGATTGCATTTTAAATGCTTGATACTGTACGTCAATTATTTAAGAAGCTTAAACGGCAGTATTCCGAACGGAATAAGTGTTATTTTGTGATATTTATGATATTCTCATGTTCTGTATATGTCTAGACATGATCCCGCTAGCGTCGTTAAAAAAAGCTAATGATCATAACACGTCAGTTACAGGAGGTTATAATTTACGAACCTAACTACGATAAAATAATCTTATATTTAAGATGCATATTACAAATAACTGTAATCAAGCTGTGTAAGGTAATTCAAAAGTTACTTGGTCGGAGGAAATCGTTTATCTCGGAGTACAGTAAGAACCCTATCCCGATCCAACAAATCAACGTAACGACACCACCAAACGAATTTGTAGTTACATAGCTGTCTTCTACCTGTATATTAACAAGTGACAGAATTGTCTTATAACTGTATATTAATTAACGTGTTTCACGACAAGACGGTTTGAAAACCAGTAATTTGTGATTGATGACATTTTTATTAAGTTGTAGGAAGGTGAGAAGGGTATAAAATCCCTCATTTCATTTCAATGCGCCCCAAAATAATTGTTTCAGGGCTTCCAGGCTACTTCATGTTTTACAATTTGACAGGCAGGTAGATCTTCATAAAAATTCTTTCGGAATCAAGAAAAAGCCCATCTCAAAATTTTGGCTCGCTTTTCAGTACGCACGATTTAAAACCGCTCGTGCATTAAAATTACATATAAGCGCTGACCTTTGACCAGCAATAAATTCGGCTAGAAAATATTTTTCGGTGGGACCAAAAGCAGCTGATAGAAACAACTAAAAAGTCGATTTCCAGAGAATTTTCATCAAGTCCTGATAGTAACTCACCTTTGGGAAGGCGTCTACTTGTTTGATAAGATCTTGCAGCTGTACTTTTTTATCTCCGGTGCCGCGTACAATACGTCTTAACATCTTCTAATAATTACAATTATCTACTTTTTAAGTTCTTATTATTGTATCAACTAGCAATATTAACATTTAACACGTTGTTGAGTTATTTGAATTTATACACTTATGTCCAAACAACTTTCATCAAAATTTAATACTGTTGTGTCAAATAATAGGCTCATGTACTGTCAAATGAATTATCAGCAACGATGCTGATAAATCAATATAAAGCAGAAAAGTTAGTGGCACTGGTATGGATATTATATATGATTTGAAATAAAACGAAAATAAATCAATACAATAATATACAATATAAGAGAACATAGTGCACTCTTTTTGAATTAAGTGCATTTGATGGGCCACATATCATACATTATTTGATTTTTAAGAGGTCAGAAATTAACAAATAAATAACCAACCATTTGCCAAGGAGGGATAATTTAATCAATTATAGATAATAGATTTAACTGATCAATCTTCATTGTATTGTCTGGATGCATAATGATCAGGGGGAATCAGTGACATCTTTACCCTCAATTTTAAAGCCCCGCAACAAATTACAGCAGTGTACATTGTACATTGTACAGTGTAGAATCAAAACAAGGGATCTGATAGACTTATTCCTATTATTGAGGTGGTGGAGGAATTAGTATCGCAGTTCTCAATTGCTTAAATGGCAACCCTTCTGAGAAAGCCTATTGCAGTACCCAAGTATACTAGTGGTCCAATGTTATATAAATATATCTAGTTTTAATCAGCTGTTCCTAGCGAAAGTTTGTTTTGAACTTTATGCTCATAGCTTTACAATACAGCCTACGCATATCATTATCAATTAAATGTATACTATAATTATCAATCCTAATTGTGAATGAAAACCGTCCGAGATAAAAGACTATTGAAAATCCAATACTGATAAAAATATCAATGCCATGTTAAATGATAAAAATAATATCAATGCATTAAAGCACAATATCCCAGCCGAAAATGTATTGTATGGAGATAAAATGGTTTCTTACAAGTCATTAACAGTATCGCGAATCGTACGAACAGCAAGTAATTCATCACGCTCATTAGATGATGGACAACTGTTATCTTTAAAAACTAATTCATTATAAAGCAGTCTTCTTGCCACAAACTTAATAAATTCATGTGCAGTAAAACCAGAAATATTTCAAGTCAAGTATTTAGAAGAGCAAGGTTCGCTGTCATCGATAAGCACTCTAACGGGAGAAGGTTTGTTGGTGAGGGTGACTGTAGGAGAAACACCATGTTTCTTCTTCCTCTTCTTCTCCTTACCCTTACCCTTAACAGGAGAAGGAGACCTAGAGTAGCTGGGAGAGTTGTTTCTGATCGGAGAACAAGGGAAGCAGGGCGAGTTGAGGTGCTTGATTGGAGAGGCACGAGGATGGCTGGCTGGAGAGTTGTATCTGAGGTTAGGTGAGGAGGGTTCAGGAGAACAGGATCCCCCTCTGCTGACAGGAGATCTGGGAGGGGTGGGAGTAGGAGGGATATCTTCCAGGTCTATGTAGACGGGAGTTACGGAACAGTTTTGAGATGGTTCATCCAGCTCGTCCACCACGATGGGATCGTCTTCTGTTGAGCTGGTGTTGGTGATTTTGAGAAGTTTGGGTGATGATCTGTTGATTTCTGAGTCACTGCTGTCGGTTGTGATGTTCACATCCAGTTCTCTTTCTTCGATGAACTCTATGGAGGAACTCTCGCTGCGGGTTCTGGTGACGGTCTCGTCGTCCCATCTTGTGTTAGAAATGGTGTCACCAGCTGAGGATCCGGAGGTCTCCCCGATGTATCTTACAGGTGACATATCCCATCTGCTTACAGAACTTACATCATCGTAATGAACTTTCTTTAGGTAAGTTTTCCAGTCGTATGGACTGGTAGCAAACATGTACAGTTCATGACAGAAATGATCCGTTTTGTCGAAGAGAAATGGTTTCATTTCATGCTTGAACTCATCGGAGTTGATGTGGTGATGGTCTAGAAGCTTCCACAGAATTTCCAGAATAAAGAACACGTGCTCAGTGTTATTGTAAAGCAACAATTCAAGTTCATTTCTCATCCAAGGGAAGAGCCTGTGTTTTGCTCCTTCATAGTGTTTATAGAATTCTGGTGTCGCTTTCCGTGTTTTTTGGTCAGTGGAGCAAGCCTTCGCAAAAAGGTTATTAGCGTAAACTCTCTGCCGCGCCTCCTTTATTCTGACGTTCTCTTCCTGCGGAATAGGACTGGCATTTCGTCTCCGCTTCCGTCGACTGTCCTGGTTCTCAGGTATTTCGATCGGAACTACACTTGAACTTGAACCATTATTTGAATTGCTATTTGAACCATTATTAGAACCATTATTTGAACCATTATTTGAATTACTATTTGAGTTACTATTTGAGTTACTATTTGAGTTGCTATTTGAGTTACTATTTGAGTTATTACGAGCCGTAGTAGCTCTGTTAGTTGTCCGGTATCTGACAGTGTTACGGAAATTATTCCTAACAACCGGAGGTATTATCGCTGCTTCATCCTTCTTTATATGTGTTTCTTTGTACTCTGTTATAGATTTAACATCGTGTATCAAAACACTGAACACCTTCTTACACAAGGGACAAGTCTGAGAAATCTCAGACCACTGAAGAATACAGTAGTAGCAGAACGCATGGAAACAGTCATTTAAAAAGGACCTATTATTAAAGGCACCCAAACAAATGGAACAACTGTCCTTGTCCGAGGAGCTTGAGGAAGTAACCACTTCAAGTGAATCCTCATCAGAATCTACAATTGTAACCACCTCATGTTCAGCCTTGTTATTGAGGGAGAGAGTTGAGCTAGCTCTCTTCAGGACTTTACTGAGGTTGAGTGGGGGAGAGTTGTCATTTAGTGGGGTGCTGGAAACTTCTCTTACATCGTCTGACATTAACCTTTCTAGGGAGACACGTTTAGTTATGTGTCACTCGAAATTATATAGTTTACGATTCAGGATATTGTGAGTGACAAGTTATATTTAAAGTCGAATTAATTAATTGATTAATTAATCATACGTCTCAAATTGTAGGATATGTTCTAGATAGATAATCTTTTAAACTACATTTCCAGGTGCAATAAAACATCGTGATACTAAAACTACATGATAACGTATTATAACAGTGTCGAATAACAGCTACATTCTACAGTAATAACCCGTATCAAACATCATGTACTCCGTATAAAACAAGAGATCATCTGCTTTATCAAAGCCAATCGGTATAGTAATTATGCTAGTTAATAAGTTATATATAAAAGCAATATTTTGTAAAATTTCTATAAAAGTTAGTTTTTCGTTTAAAAAATCTGAAAACGAGGTATAGCAGAAAATTGTTTCCCATAAAAAAATTAAAAATTCTCAAATGTACATGTGTTTTAAAAATCATACATATTCTCGATACTATAAAACGATATGAACACCAATAAAACGAACTGATCTGAAACATATTTAATAACTTAAATTATAGTCTACACAAACATTTACCACTATTATAATTTAAATCTCATCGCAGGACTATAATATGTTATATAGCTATGTAACGGTAGTTTACTTCCAGCTAAAAATAATGGATATCTTCGCTTTACTTCTTCAGCATTTGAATCAGCCTGAAATAAAGCCACCGTCAAGAATTTTATTTCACAAAATATGATTACAAATAAATGTCGCAAAGGTAAACATTCAATCAGAATTTGAGCGACATCTCCCGGCCCTCCACCCACCACTGTCCACCCACCACCCTCCACCCTCCACCCTCCTCCCTCCACCCTCCATCCTCCACCCTCCACCCTCCACCCTCCACCCTCCACCCTCCACCCTCCACCCTCCACCCTCCACCCTCCACCCTCCACCCTCCACCCTCCACCCTCCACCCTCCACCCTCCACCCTCCACCCTTCACCCACTCACCTCAAACCAGTCCTAGCAAGTTGAGCACTAGTAGAGTACCCTCTCACAGCTCCACCGAGGTGAGAGGCAGGGAAACTAGCTGTAGAGTAAGTTCTTTGTCCGCCGACACTTGTTACACCTGCAAACATTTGGGTCATTTGTACTTCATTTGTACTTCAATTGCTATAGTAGTAGCGATGATCAGTTAAATCATTTGCTAGCACATAATATTAATTTACTCGGTAAAATGTTTACTTCATTAGTAAAATATAACCATAATGATAAAAAAGTATTTTAGTACAACACCAGCCTATCCGAATATCCAAACATTTTAAAATTCAGTACGAGACAATTAGAGTTCGTTTTGTGTAATTCACACTCCTTTACTTCAGCAGAACCTAACATCTTCGCAGTTCAATCTTCCATAATAATGTTAACTCTATTGAGATCAATACAAACATAAATGGAAAATCAGGTTTACCTTATTCTAGTCAGACATTGCATAATATTCTAGATATATACCCACTAAAAGCAAGTACTATAATATGTAATATAATATAATTTAAAGATCATGTTCTCAGTATTCCTTTATTTCTCAATTCTAATTTCTTTCCATGCCCTAAAATTAGATTAACTGTTTTAAGAGTTCTAATTAGTAAATAGTACTTCAGAGTTTGTTTTTTCTATTCACACATCACATTAAATTTTAGGGAATTTCGGACGTCAGCCATGTACTTACCGTGCATTCTTTTGGCACTGGTTACAGTGTTCCTCATCAGGAGAGCAACAGTCATAGGTCCAACACCACCGGGAACCGGTGTTATAGCACCTGCCACCTGGGGAATTTAACTTAAAAATCTTATAATAAAATTTTATAACATACATTAATATTATATATGTGAAATGGTTATTAGTCTCATCACTTGAAATGCACGTTGGAGTGTAATACCATTGTTTAATGTCAAAAATCCCGATATCCGGATATATAATATATACTAATGTTATTTGGACATTATCTTTATCATCTTTATGAATGGTGTCATTAAATTCGCCAAAATGATGACTTAAAACTTAACAACACCACTGACGACATAACAGAGAGGATCAAATCTGCAGGTGCTCATCATTCCCTGATAACTGCACACTTTTAAAATTTGAATTAAAGTACTTTATATTATTTCTCCTGTTTTTTAGGTTATATATAATATTTGTACTTTGTCTAGGTTATATCTTTAGGTTATTATGGAAATACGCATCTTGCAGCTGTTGCATATTAGAGGCGGCAAATTATTGCTGCAGTGAAATAATGGTGTAAAAATTACCGAACGATTATATTATGACCATTGACCAATGATGTATCTTTAAGGTGAAATTTAACGCAAAGAATTGGATATTTCCCCAAAAGATGAACATATGAATTATTAGATTGGATGAAAACTTTTAGCACGTGCTGTAAAATTTTTAGCACGTGCTGTAAAACTCTTAGCACGTGCTGTAAAACAGTTTTCAGGGACCACCTGTCCCTCACAAATATTAGAATAGATGAGTTAAGTATAGTTAACTATAGTTAAGTTAAACAATGCTCTAGTCAATTACCTCCTTTAATTAGTCGGAAACTTTGCTGAAAACTCCCCGACCAGTAACCAGTAATCCACTTTGATCGTTCATTTTAAATATGTGGAGGCAGTCCGGGGGCCGGGAACCGCCCAGTACGCTTTTAATTTATAATAGTTCTTGCAAAGTTTCATTTTGTAGTCTAACTATGCCTTCCTCAGCAATGTGATGTTTTATATTGTCATTCCATGAAATTGGCAAGTATCAATAACCACTCGGAGACATGTCTTTGAGGATTTATCGTTAACATTTTTGACACATTGCCGACTAATTAGGCTAAGTTTACGAGATTTCGCAATATGGCCTCACTGAAATTCACTTTGAGTCCAATTTATAAATCATCGTAGTCCTGATCTCTTAAAATAAGATTTATGGCACCTTTTAAGTGATTTGCAAGGATTTCTCTATTGAACAGTTCAATCATCGATTGCATTATTGTTTTTGTTTTTACGGTTTGGTAATGCTTGAGCCTTAAACTCTAACTATATCCTTTGCAAAAGCTTGGTTAAGCTAAACTTTCTGACATCCGCCCGCGCCCCGAACACCATATTGGGGCCAAACTGTAAGAAATTTTCCGAAAGGGTTCTGTAATATTATTAATATAATATTTATTGACTCAACTAATTTTCAGCGATGTTGATATTCTGGAAGCTAGTTACATTGGAGGACAAGGAACTGTTCAGCAAAGGTTCAACTTCAAACAGCGCGAGCGTGACGAGCTTTCCCAACACCACTTATCATGCAACCTCCACTGATCAGATAGTAAACTACTCCCTAGGCAGTGTCTTGGTCATGTGCTTCCTTATCTCTACCATCCTGAATCCTGTCCTCACATACCACCATTATTCCACCCGTAAAACTGGAGTTTGCATCTTCCTCTTTTCTTGCCTCTCCGTATCTGATCTCCTCACAGACCTCTTCGCGCCGCTTGTCTACACTCACTACATGTTCCGTACGGGCATTTACTCAGGCTCTCTTTTTAGTATTGAGTTTGCCAGAGTGTTTGCTTGCACGGTGGGTTGTTTCTCTCAGTGTGGAACAACACTTATCGCAGCTACTCGACTCATCAAGGTAACCGCACCCTTCGTCAGGATCAGGAAACGAACTGTAGTGGCTTACTTCACTGCCTACACAACAGTCATGACCACCAACAATCTTGGAATTCTACTGTTGAAGCAGGTGGACATATCCCAGCGAGCTCTTTATTTCACTTTCACTAACATCTGCATCTGGCTGAACGTTGCTCACTGTTTGGTTGGGATTGTCTTGTCACTTGCAACATTCATTTACCTTTATTTGGTAAAGCCAGTCGGTAAAACGGAGAACAGGGTGAAGAACAAGAGAGTATGTGTAACAATACTACTCATGAACATACCCTACGTTATCTCCATATTCTTTGTTCTTCTTGTTTACATTTCATCCTGGCACGTGAGTATACATGACATTATATTTGGGTTTGTGCCAATGTTAACGTCGGCGATAAATCCAGTTGTGTTGATCGTTAGAAACAGTGGGATAAGACAGACTGTGGTGTCTCTGATGACTGTGTTAATAGACAGACAATACAATGAGATAATACGACAAAGAACTGCAGTACAAGATATATTGTGAGTGATGCTTCGTTAAAACTCTCATAAAATTATGCACATTATCATCGAGCAAGGAATGTGTAAGATATGAGTAGATCGTTTTTGAGCGATTCTTTTTTATTCTTCAATTATAGAGTTATAGCATAAGATTAGCTGCCTGATGCTTCCCCAGAATATTAATTGTAAAATGAGCAATCAGAAATTTATTTTTATTTTGAAATTAAAGCATCATATTCGCTGCCAGTTGCTTCTTCAGAATAGTTGTAATTGTAATTCTTAAATCATGTAGTTAATTATATTACCACCAAAATAGAGTATTGAGTGAACTACCCAAATTTAAAGCCAACATTATTCAACTGCTGACCAGATATTTCAAACAAAATATAAACCCCACCTGTTTAGCAACTGGATACTCCACGTCACCCCACAACTTGACCCCCGACTTCTTGGTAGCATCAGGTTCAGGGTTTATACCACAGTCGATCACCACAGCTCCTGGTTTAATCCACTCTCCTTTAACTAGCTCCTTCTTCCCAGCTGCTACCACCACTATATCTGCCTGGTTTATGTGGTATCCTGACAAATACAGAGCCACAGTTATAATATATATATATATGAATGTTAATACCATACCGGTCTTGGGACGACTGACAGCTTAAAAAGTACTTAAAACACTTACAATTACTTTCACAACGCTTTAAAAGGTGATTTACGAATAAAGCAGATAATAAATGTAAACTTACTGAGGTCAGGTGTCCTGGAGTGACAGGTGATTTACGAATAAAGCAGATAATAAATGTAAACTAACTGAGGTCAGGTGTCCTGGAGTGACATGTTGTGACAGTGCCATGTGCCCAGAGCAGCAGGTCGTGCATCGGCGCCCCAACTATCTTACTTCTCCCAACTACACACACATTCTTACCCTTCACATCTACTCCTGCTTCTTCAATTAGCACCATACATCCTGAGAAAAAGTCTTAGTAACGAGCAATATGGCAAATGGACTGTGAAAAATAGGGAAAATATTTTACAATAACTAGACTGACCTTAGTCCTTACGTTTAATAGATTCTAGAGCACTATTATTATAAGCAATCTTAAGACCTGCCTCAAACGAGTTAAGACGATCAGAGAGGTACCTGATGTATTTATGAAATTATTACCGGTAGGGGTACAGGGGGTGAAACACCTTTTGAGATCACCACGAGATAGTCGACCCGCGTTTACATCGGTCAAACCATCCACATCTTTAGAAGGAGAGAGTACGTTAGTACAGAGAGTCTCGTCTATACCAGTATTGCAATCGAGTGGTACCTGGTGGTAATTTGGTGGTAATATAGTGGTTATCTAGTGGTAATCTAGTGGTAATCTAGCAGTAATCTAGTGATACCTGGTGGTAATCTAGTGGTAGTTGAGTGTGATAAAAAATAACTCAAAAAAGCCCCAAATGAGACAACCTTCAGATGAACAGACACAATCTCACAAATAACAAGAAACCTGTAGAATGATGCCGTGAACTGTAGGATCCTGGTTGAGTCTCTCAATATTATCAATGAGTTCCTGTTGGGTGGTGGTAGGGGGCAGCTTCAGGTGAACACCGTGTATTCCAATCTCCGCGCAAGCTTTAACTTTAGCTCCTATATAGACGTTACTGTCGGGCCTGTCACCTACCTGTTACAAGAGAATGATCTGTTTATATTACAAAAACTAAGGTGGGAATAGTGGGAATACCTAAATTATGTGCGAAATTTTTAAATCTCAGACAATGGGCTTCCTAAATCTTATTCCCAAATCTAAATATTTATGTTCTGCTGTGTTGTACCTGGACGACTGTTAGTCCAGGTGTAAATTCTGGCTGCTCCTTCCTGATTTCCAGAATATCCGCTTTCAGACCTTGTCTCAATTTCTTGGCTACTGCCGTTCCTTTAATAACTGTAGCCATCACTGAGAATTGTTAATTTAAAACTTTAATTTTATCGTGGCTGTGTGATCTCAAAGGTGATGTCACTGATGAAATTTCTTTAATATCACTAGAAAAATGTAAAGAACGATCAACATGTGTGGTTCAAAATTTTACTTGGAAGCAAAATAGACGATGATTGTTAAAATAATAAATTAAGAGTAGTTCAAAATAGTTTGAGTCATCAAATAATAACATACTCGCAGAAAAATGCCTTCAAACTTAAATACTCTGTTCCCAAATATTTAAAAGAGCCATCAATCACGATGACAAATCTAGTCATCAATTATGATCGATAAAAATGCATTTCTGGGATTTCTTAATCTCTGCCTTGGCCAAAGAGCGTAGTGCCAATATTTCATTCTCTCTCAAGAAGTTAACTCTATCGCTGCAACCGTAACAGTTGTGCTTTCATCCTCAAACACTTGTGGCTCCATCTCATACTCCGTAAGACCGTCTTTGTTTTCTTTACTGATTTTATCAAAACTCTCCATTATTTCCTCCAGTTTCTTTTTTTTCTCTTCCCTTGCTTTCCTCTTTATCCGATCCCTGGCCTCTTTCAGTAATCTCTCATTGTCCTGTTTAGCTTTTTCTTTCCTTTGGCTTTTCCTTCTTCTAAACCCTGTCAAGTATTCGGTGCGATCTTTATCATCAAATTTAAGCTCCACTTTCGTTTCTCTGTTCTTCTTCATTTTCCTTTTCTTGTTAGGCGGGTTCATTATGTTTTCCTCCCCGTCCATTTTACAAACTGCTACAACTGAGGTTGGTCATGTTAATTATTGATATATCGGTAAGTAAACAGTCCTGGCGACTGGCAATATCGCAAATTAAGTACTAGAAATTACTGTTTCTCTAAATACCTACAGAGATGGCTGAACATTTAGCTACGGAGAACATTTGAGCTACTAATTTCTACCGGATAGAGCTTAATATTATATATATACAATATACAATATAATACCACCGTTCAAGAATCAAGATATTGGTAAATTGGTAAATTAACCATTTAATCTTAGGATCATATATAAGGATTCAGTTAAACAAAATTATGAGTCCATACTTAATTTCCAAAAATCATATAAAATATACATATCGTAAACGATAGTGTTTATCAAATAATGAGGATCACTAGCTAAGTAACGGGCAACACCTTTCACTACTAAATTATCATCAAACTGAGGGACAGTCATTACATTATTCTAGTCTCGATTTGTATGGTTGCTGGTTAGAGATAATAATATGAGATCCAATATACAGAGGGTTGGTCACGGAGTGCAAGTGAGCAGAAAATGTCCGACAAACAGTGTTCTAAAGGTCCTTTTAACTCCTAAGGTGATACTCCAAGGGACATACAATAAATTAAGAGTGCCAAAATACAAAACAGTATAACGTGTAAGCTTAAACTAACGAACAACTTCTCAGTCCTCCTGTCCCTTTTATGTTATTGTTTGAGAGTGTCTTAAGTTTCATGTCGCAGAGTTAACTCAGTTCAAACATCACGTTCCGCACAAGTCTATCTGTACAAATAGTCTGCGTCAATGTTTGCAGCGATTTCTACCTCCCACCGATCTCCGTTATTCAATAGTTTCTCTTTGTTGTAAAGGAGCTCTTCGTGTGTTCTCGTGGCGTACTCAAAGTTTGGGCCCTGTAAAATGTAATGTGTAAAAGTGCACGAAAATAAGCAACAAGAGGACAGGATGAAAACCAGTACTACTTATACTGTTCACTTCACAGAAAAAGAAACAATTCCTAAGACAAACCTCCACAATAGCATCAACAGGACATGCTTCCTGACAAAAGCCACAGAAAATGCACTTGGTCATGTCAATGTCGTAGCGAGTAGTACGACGACTCCCATCTTCTCTCTCTTCCGCTTCGATTGTGATTGCTTGTGCTGGACAGATAGCTTCACACAGTTTGCAGGCAATGCATCTCTCCTAAAAATTGACGATTGTAATTTATAATCTTGAAATGGATTTTATGCATGAAAATCGATCCAATTGACTCATTTAAATACAACTAAACAAGACCTTACCTCTCCATTAGGGTATCGTCTGAGGGCGTGTTCTCCTCTAAATCGGGGGCTAAGTGGACCCTTCTCCCACGGGTACGATATCGTTACAGGCTCACGGAAAAAGTAACTGAATAGAACTGCAGTACCTGTAACAAAGTTCATGTAAATAGTTGATTAGTTTTAAATTTATTGAAAATATTGTCATCAATCAGTACTAGATGATAACAGTACTTACAGAATCATTAATTAAACACCATTATCAACACTGCACCATTATCAATATTCAACATGCTTCTTGCTTAACATTGTCAGAAAAACTGTTAAAATCTCAGACCTCTCATCATTTCCAATCCAAAAATGGTAGTAAAGTTCTGCTCTGAAACATGAGCAAGTGTCTTAGCTTCCTCTGGTACTTCAGAATCGTGGTAGTTTGCTGGATCTGAGTTATATGACCTTTGTTATAAAAAATACAGGTTTAAAGTGAGTGTAACATAGCATTTTTTTATTTTAAAGTAAAACGTAATGAATCAAGTTCGGGATTTTCAGTTATTTACAACTTTTTACTATCAAAAATACTCACAATAGTTTCCCATGGCTCTTTTTGACAGATTCGTTCCTGAAGAAAAGGTATGAAAAATAACAAAGAGAATTGTTATGTTATTTTCGATTCGTTGAATTTTTTAAATTTGATCAGTAGTCGGTACCTAACATATAATAGGTAGTTACTAGTTAGAATATATAAATCAGATTCTTACCTGTAGCAGAAACGAGACATTGCTGATTAACCCTTTGTAGTACACGAAACATCTTTCATCGATATCTATAGGAGATTACAAATTATGTAATTGTCAATTTTCTTAACTACAAGAAAGGTTCAACTGACAGGAAAGGCAAGTTGTCCATTTTAAACCTCATTTGTCATTCATTCGCATTGGTGAAATTTCGAAAAATAGATTGGCTATATATTAGAATGCAGTGAAACCCGCCACCCAACATATAGTGCCACCCAGTATAGATACCTTAAAAAATTCTCGTGTTAAAAAGCACAACTATTTAGAACTACCCAAAGTGGGTTATTCATATAATCCGTAACAGCAAATATGGAAAAAATTGTAAATAGTCACTATTACAAACAAGTCCAGGACAGATAATTCTTGTGTTTTAAGTCGAGGGCCAGATTATCTGTCCATTTAAACGAAAATTTTGTCCTTGCATCTAACAAAATAATGCTCCCAGTTTCCCTTTCAAATAGGAAAAAACTTGGAAACTAAATAAATTATGCTATGACCCATGAGCGATTTAAGCAGTTAGATAAATAGCTTAGTTTAGACACCTCAGGGGGTTTTTCCTCCAGTGCTGGTGGCCCTCTTATACTTTGGATACATTTATAATTGATAAATTTACAGTACACTGTCACTGTAAATTGCAAGATTCAGAATCGCAGGGCCACTTCTCGTCTAATCATCAATCGTTAATCTACATTCTACAGTCTCCAAAACGAAGTACGAAGGTAAATTAACTTTGAGCTTTGTTTTGGCGACTGCTCCATTGATGGGATATTTGTTTTTTAGCGGTGTTGAAGATTGAATCAATAATAAAATTTATATCTCTATCATAATATATGCTAGTGTAAACATATATAATGCAAACAAATAGTAACTTGCTAGATGTGATTGGAGCACATGTTTACGTCAATTATTACTCAAGAAAACAACAAATTTTCAAGAAAACAACAAATTTTTATTTAAATCAATTATAGCAACAATTTGAAAAACTTTAAAGTTATTCTATTACCAAGGAATATACACGGGTATGGTGACTTGGACTATTGAGTTGTTAAGTAGATTAAGATTAGTAAACATGCACTTTCATTGTATTTATAACAACTAGAAATTAGGCTTCACGGTAAAATGGAGAAGCAGGTACAAGAACTCACTCATGGCTAACCAGCAGCTAACAGAACACATTCTGAAGCAACACACCACTCTCAATACCAACAGAGAGGCTGGGAAAGCGGTCAAGATTGCTATTAGCCTGTCAAATGCAAAGAGACATGAATCTCTCAAAAACCAGCTGATGAACGATCTACCACCTTTGATCAGTGAGAAGATCCCACATGCATGTGAAAAAGGTGCATCAAGCTGACTGACCGGACTACCTTATGAGAAGTACGGATTTGTCTTGAACAAGCAAGGGTTTAAAGACGCTATAGCACTGAGATATGCTCTACCCATTGCCAACATAGCCAAGAAATGCATTTGTGGCAAAGATAACACCTACAACCACGTTCTCATTTGCAAGAAAGGAGGCTTTGTCAACAGCAGACAGAACCGACTGAGAGACACCATTGCAAGCATTCTTGAAAAAATCTGTAATGAGGTTGTTGTAGAGCCCACACTCCAGCCATGCACTGGAGAAAGCCTTCGCCCTGGTACCATTCTGGATGATGGGCCCACAGGCTACCATGTTCCTTAAACGAGTGGCAACACTTCTGGCAGCCAAGACCAGCCAGGACAAAAGCCTCATCATGGCAAATCTAAGACGTCGTTTGCGATTTGAGCTACTTAAAACAGTTTTGATTGCAGTGAGAGGACACAGAGGACGGTATTATGAGAAAGCAATACCTGTTGACGAACTGGACCTAAATCTCGCACACACCACCAGCGATGAAGACAGGGGTAATGATGTTGATGATGAAGATGAGGAAGTTGATGATGAAGTTGAGAATGTAGAGGAAGAGGTTTCAGAAGAGTGAGCTGAAAAGAAGACAAGATTCTATTCTAAATTTTTGATTATTATGTTTATTGAAATAAACATATAATATCCATTACTCCAGGAGTGATGACAGGATATAGAAAAAAATGTATAGTACACACCAAAGTAACTTCAGCTTATACATAAATATATTTCTATATGCAACAATAGAGAGTCAGAAACTGTTTAAAAACTTTTTTTCATGTGCCAATTAGCAGTATGAGTTTTTTAAATTATTCAAACAATATACACATAATATAGCAATGACCCTATATAAAATCAAACCTTTAAGAATATACAAAATTCCCTAAGCACTCAAAAATTACCCTTGGCCTTGTGGCTCCAAGTTAAGATCTAGACTGTTTATATTAACAATGTTTTTTCTCGCACCTCTGTCTCCACGGAGAGAAATCACTGTTTAAAAACAGAGTGTTCTCATAAGCTCTGAGATTTCCTCGAGCGTACTAAATCACTCTACAGTCGATCTTCGAGATTGTTCTAAAAGGGCCCCCGACAGTTGAAACCAACTTCAATCGATGTATTTTCGGACGCTGATTCCGAATCACCCCCCATGACATAGGTTTAAAATGCTCCCCTGACGAGATATAAGCGAAAAACTGTCTCGATCACGTGATATGACCGTATAAGGAAGTTAGTCTAATTTCTCGTTAGGGTTAGGGTTTCAGCATATGCTTTTGTTAAGGATTGGGTTAGGGTTAGGGTTAGGATCAGATAAGAGGGTTAGGGTTTCGAATAGTCGTTTAGGACCAGCTAGAGAACGGGTTGAAAAAGTCACGCGACAGTCGAGTGTAGAGTGATTAATTATCATCCAGATTTCCTCGTTAGTTGGTTCCAAATTAATACGCCAATTTAGTTGCTGTAAACCTTTCCAAGAGCAAAAATATGCAAAAAGATCCTTAATGAAATAAAACTTAGTAAAATGAGTATTATGAAACAAAACCACTTGATAGGGTAGCACTCGTGCGCGGCGGGTCATACAACGTATGACAAGATAAATTAGGCTATAAAACAATGTTTCTAATTTTGAGTAAGTTAATTTTGTTAGCTTATCAATCAAATTTGCACAAAGATAGTTTAAAAGCATTAGCCACAAATAATTTGGACCTATGTGCGTAATAATGTTAAAATTTACTAAATTCTTTTAATTTTTAAAATTTGATATTTTTGCGCGCTATCAATTTTTAGTACTTTGATCCAACGTCATTTTATGAACATAATACATCATATATCTCATAAAAATAAAAATTGTTTGATTTATATGATGCAATTATGGTAAAAAGAGTTTAAAGTGTAAGGAAAATTTTATGTGCGCCGCGCATATTTTCGTAAATTAACACCATAGTACAAAAATCGAGCGCTGAAGCAAATTTGGTCAATCTTTACACTTTACCAAGATTTTGATTTGTGTGGCGCGGAGTTCACAAGGGTTAATTTTTAAAACGATTTAAATAAAAATGGAAAGCGGTTCAAGACGAGAGTGATGAAGTGTAATAGTCGGTATTCGGACCTTGTGATTATGGAATGTGGTGCCTATTAATGACTTATCCACGTGGTGCCTAATAATGACTTATCCACGAGAAAGAACTGATTAAGTGATTATTGTTTAAGATACTATTGGATACGTGAGGGAACTCCGAATAGAATTGCTCACCTGATGCGGGTTTTGAATCAGCGGGTAATTACTCCTACCCTTTTTAACTGCAGCAGTGAAATCCGAAGGCCAGGTTACACTAGTATATTATGTGTGTATATAGTTTGAATAATTAAAAAATAAATTGATACGTTTGATTTGAAACGTTTCTGCCAATATTTTAATCGGTGAATATATTGCATTTTTAAAGGTTTTATTTTATATAGGGTCATTGTGATATTATGTAGTTTTTATATTGTGTAAAATTTTACGGACGAAATGATCCCAGGGGAGACTCCCAACCCAACGCCTCGGCGGGTAGTTGATACACTTTGGTCTACTTGCTGTGGGGTGTTTCAGCCACATGGGTTGGGGGTCCCCCCTTTTTTGTGATATTATGTGTATATTGTTTGGATACTTTTTATACCATTCTTTACCAAGAAAATCTTTGGAGTTTTAGTTGCTCTAACTAAAGTTGCTCTAACTAAAGCCCTCGCGCTTGCAGTAGCGCCCTCAAAGAATCATGGTTATGTGAAGAGTTTTAGTATAGTGTTATTGTTACATTTTAAAACTCCCTTTGCCTCTATTCAGTTATTCTTTCGATGTTTTCTTGAATCTTATCATACTTTATCGTGTTGACAGGTGCTGACAGGTAGAATCCTGTAAATGCCTTATGTCTCCCCTACTCCCCCTGCTTGAGCTACTCTGCCTCCTGGTGATGGTTAATGTCTCGATGGCAGGAACAGACACGTCTGAAAGTAGAAGTAATGGTACTCTACCAAACTTGGATATCGATGCTGTGAAAGGACTTATTAGCATACTTGACAACAGCACTTTCATAAGCAATGAAACTTTGGATGGAGATTATACTGTTGTCAAAGTTGAGGACCCTGGATGTCATGATTATGCAAACGGTTCACAATGCTGTGGAAAATTAGGCAAGATACCAGAAATAAAAGAGCATGATGATCATATTTGCCTAAACATGACTTACAAAGATGATGGGACAGACATAAAGTTTTACCTTACATGGAATGGTGATGTGAAAATGAGTGGACACTTATTGGATTTCAAAGAAGATATTTGTGTAACAGTTCCCATTCCTAAAATAGGTCCCCTGGTTGGGATTTGTCTCTTCTTCACCAAGTATTCACGGGTAAATGAAACTCTAAGCAGTTGTGTCAACTTAAAGCTCAAAATCATTACTCTGGGTTTTGATGTGTGCCTAGGATGTTTTGGAGATGCTGGTTCATGTAGTGCTGCGGGATCAGAACATGTTGACTTTTTACTTTATCTCACCATGGTATTGTTCAGTTTGATTTATTAGGCTATTCGGAAACTCTCATGGTTGAACAATTTGAACACTAATTGTAACTGAATCACTCAAATTTGCATGAACTTTTTTTTTCACGGCTTAATGTATTTTGTAAGATTGAAAATTTTATGTAGTTATGTTTTATAATTTATTGCAGCTTTATTTTTACAGATTTTATGATATCTTTTAGTCAATTCATCATATTTGCCATAACAGAAATTGCACGATGTTTTCAAGTTTACCTGAAAAGGTCACTGCATGATCGCTCCATTTTTATGTAGTTATGTTTTATAATTTATTAGATTCTTCTCTTTAGATTCTAAATTGAATAGTTTGAGATTTCCTTTACATTTTATATTTATGCATGTGCCCCACAGGGATGAATTTCTTATTACCATTGATATTATATATACTTTTTTGAGTAAACATTGGCTGGTACCACGGGCCAGTCCCCAACAAAAATAATGTATATCAATTATTTTGAATGATACATAATGTAAATTTTTAAAGATTGAAAAAATATTACTACTGTTATCTTATTATTATAGCAGAAATAGCACGATGTTTTCAAGTTTACCTGAAAAGGTCACTGCGTGACCGCTCTATTTATATCAATTATTTTGAATGATACATAATGTACATTTTTAAAGATTGTAAAAATATTACTACTGTTATCTTATTATTCATTTTATCTCTCCCCTACTGTTAATTTGGATTATAATGCCACAGGTTCATCTTAGTGAGAATTTTATACAGTAAAGGGGGGGGGGAGCCAAGTGGATATTTGTAGATATTTGGATAATGTCATCCACTTTTTTCGTGAATTATCCATTACAATAATCTACAAATATCTACATTTATCTACAAAAAATGTATATCTCAAATATTTGCCCAGAAATTCTACTGAATTTTTGGAGATAAATGTATAAATTTGTAGAATTTGTAGAATTTTCGTGAACTATCCATTGACAATAATCTACAAATATCTACATTTATCTACAAAAAATGTGATCTCAAATATGTGCCCAGAAATTCTACTGAATTTTTGGAGATAAATGTATAAATTTGTAGAATGTCATCCACTTTTTTCGTGGATTATCCATTCTACATTAATCTACAAATATCTACAAATATCCACTTGGCCCCCCGCCCCCCAGTAAATCTACAGACCAATCCTCGATTAAATGGCAAGTACTACTGTCTGGAATGTCCATTTTTGTAGTCAAGAAGACAAGAGGTTGAAATGATCTTTTTTCCGTCTCCTGCACTCAATCTTGATCCTTTCTCCTTTTCGTTCCTTGCTAACTGTAGTTCACTGCAGATGTATCGAGTCTAGCTCCATCAGTTGTATTGGTTCTAACACGAAAATGGAATGTGCTCACTGAGGGGGGGGGGGGGGGGGGGGCGGGGGGATCACAGCGCTAGTGTAATTTTAACACATTAACTAACATGTCTAAGACTTATTACGGAGGGGGTAACACGTGAACAATCCCTAAGTAGGATGACGATTTCGGATTTCAATGTTTTCACTTTGATGACAAGAAAGAAGTAATATTGTAACTTTTGTCAACATGTTTACTCACGTAATAAACATCCCAGAAATGTTCTTGAATATTAGGTAAAAAGATATTGGTAAGAGTAATGCAAGAACATGATAACTAAATAGTAAATAGATATAGTCTATAACAATTACTAGTGTAATCCAGCCTTTGGTGGGGTCCACTGTCGCATATAATAAGGTGCTATAAACTGTAAAAGTATGAATCTACTTGTACTCAGCCAGCCAAAACCCGCATCCACCTGCAACAAAATCATAAAGTGATCAAGATATGTTTGTTAAATAAAATTATGAAACAAGTGAGGATTAAGGAAACACAACCAGACTTTATTAAAGTAACACAGAATGTTGTGTTCTAAAACATGATTCCTATGACCTTGTGCAGAGTAATTATGGAAACAAGTTTTAAACTTTAAATGAATACATTTTACAATCTATCTCTATTCTAGTTATGGACGACGGGCCTCCTGGTTTCGAATCTGCTGGTGCTGCAGACCCTCAGAACTTTATGATGAACCAGGATTTTCCTCCACGCAAGCAAGATAACCAGAGTTTTGGGAACTTTCCAGACAATCAAAGCTTTGGAAGACCCAGCAATTTCGAGGGTGATGGTCCTCCTCGTGAAAGTGGAACACAATCAGACCATGGACGTTCACGTTCTCCTCCAAAGATAGAGCAATCACCTCATCGAATGGGCAGATCTTTTGGAGGGAGACCAATGATGAACCGAGGGCCACCACCTGGTACATTCCACCCTCCTGGGATTGGACCTCCAGGGATGGGTCCTCCAGGTCTTGATGGTCCTGCAGATGATTTAGCTCCTCCAGGAATGGAACGTGAGCGACCAGGATCAGGAGACCTTGGACCCCCAGGGTTAGAACGAACAGGAGGGGGTGCTCATGCGGGTGGTGATGACCATGAACATGATGATGAGTTTGGTTCACATGCTCACAACGATGAGCCTGATTGGGACCATCGTGAACGAGGTCGTAGAGACTTTGACAGAAGAGGAGGCCCTGCAAATTTCAGCCCAAGATGGAGAGGTCCTGGTCCCATGAATAGGGGAGGTTATCAAAGAGGAGGAGGATTTAGAGGAGGTTATAATAACAGGGGTTCACCTGATTTCAACCGACGTGGTGGACCTGGTCCCAGAGGTGGATTCAGGGGTCCACCCCCTGGAATGTTTGGTGGCCCTCCTCCTAGATGGGATGGTCCTGGAGGTTATCCTGTAAGTTTTTATTTGTTATGCATGTTTCCTAGTCTTCAGACCCAAATATTATCTTCCTTACAGATCTCAAAATATTTGAAATTCTTAACTATCAATGTCTACATCAAAATATTGTATCGTTGCTGTAAAACCAAAACTGGGTATATAATATGACAGTACATGTTTGTTTGTTTGGGGACCAGCTTTTGGTACACTGGTTAATGTTTACTATAATATTGAAATATTACATTAGAATTAGATAAATAAATAGAAAGATAGAACATACCACTTTATCCAAAAATTGAAACACTGTACCGTAGCACACAACACAAAAGTTAAACTACTGGCAAAGTGTCCTCAGAAAAATAAAAACCCTAAATATACCTAGCCTTGGCCTTGGTGAGACCTGCTTCGCGATTGCTATTCAGCGATGTGTGCTCCACAAGTCATCACATACCTGAGTTACAATCACGGTTGCAGTTTATTAACTCACAATTAAAAGTTCCTCGTTATTAGCCGTAATCAACAAATACACGCAACAGCCATAAATAAGAGCCATACACACATTTAAATCAAAGTAATTATGTAGATATCAAAAACACCGAATGTTACACCTTAACCTTATCTACACTGAAAATCTTGCCGTCTCTAATATAATGATACTTTTTTGGCTCATCAGTGATCATTTCCTTTACTTTGACAACAAGTTTCTGATGAGCTGCTCTCTCCTCCTTGCTTCTGTCAGGTGTGATGTACCATGTGTGGTACGCTGTACATTTAGATTTCTTCAGATTTCTTGCTCGAGCAAGAACCATTTTTACTGATTCCGCGCAAGCCAATGTCACTTTTATTGGTCTCGGTTTACCACTGCCTGAAGTTGTTTTAGTCCCGATAGAATTTGCTGCCACAACTTTAGGATCACACCCTGAGGATTCCCAAATCAATTCGATCACTTCTTCTGCCACTAAGTGTGGATCCGGGGAATAAATCTCCGGTACACCGTAGATAATGAAATTCTTACTACGGATGTCGTCTTCAACTACGGTTTTCACAGCTGTTTTTATACTGTTGATCGACGGAGTACTTGTAGTTGTCTCGCAGTTCTTCTTTACGATATCGCTCCACGCTGTCTTCATCTCGGTATGAACAGTTGTTTTAAAAGAGTCGAGTTGCTCCTGTTGCTGTTTAATCTGGTCTTTCTGATAGTTCAGCTGATCTGATTTAAGTTTGTCTATCGTACTGGCTGCACATTTACAAAGTTCAAGATTACTAGTCATTAGCTTAGAAAGATTTTCAACTGCAGTAGCCAAGGGATCTTTATTTACAGCCATTAATCTCGAATGATTCAGTTCTGTAACGCTTTGTGCTTTTGACATCTTCAAAATCTCATTCATCGCTGACGATAGCTCCTTTTCAAATCTGTTCAGATGTTCGACGGAAAAATCCATTTTACAAAAGCCAAGGCGTACAGCACGACGTGTCGGTGTAACAAGTTGAGATAACACTACCGATAAGAGAGCAATTAAAATGTTGCAAAAGCTAGAATAAAAGATTGTAACTGATAAAAGATTGTAACTGATATAAAAGATTGTAACTGATAAAAGATTGTAACTGATATTTGAAATACTTTCAGATGGGTCCAATGCCTGGCATGGGGCCTGGTGGCATGCCTGGACCAGCTCCTCCTGCTAACCCCATGTTTACTGATGTAGATGGTGAGGTCTGGATCGAGTACAAAAATGATCAAGGTCGTCCATACTACTACAATTGCAAGACTCAAAAAACTGTTTGGACAAAACCTAAACTTAAAGAAGAAGGTGAGTGAAATTTGTTATGATTGATTTTGCTTAGATTATATTTATAAGGCATTGACAGGGTACTATTGTTAAATTTCTTGGTTTATATCCGACAATATGCCATTCTGGTGTTATATATAGAACCAATAATCTTAACTACCAGGTCCAGGTGGCCCAATGATGGACCCTATGATGAGAATGCCAGTTCCTGGACCTGGTATGCCTGGAATTCCAGGTCCAATGGGAATGCCCCCGGGTGGAATGCCTGGTCCCGGTGGTATGCCTAGATTCCCTGGTCTTCCGTTCAGTGGAGCTCCAGACATGATTCCCAACCAAGGTAAGACAAGACAAGTTAAAGGGTTAAATATAGTTAGTAAATCGATACACCTGGTAAGGGTAAAGCGAGGCTTTGCCATTTTAATCCCCGTCAGGGACCAAATTTGCCTAGATTGTGACTGGGATTTAAAAGATATGATCTTCAAAATGTGCATTAATTAAAGTCCGATCCTGAAAAATTCCGATTATAACAGATATCAGATGATAATTCACCAGGTCCAGGTGCGGGTGGTCATCCTCCAGAAAATGCAGCACCCAAGAAAATATGGTCCGAGCACAAAACAGAAACTGGCAAGGTTTACTTCTACAACTCCGTTACCAAGCAGTCAGTCTGGGAGCGTCCTAAAGAAATGGATGAGGAGCAAGGAGGAGTAAAGAGAACACCTGAGCCACTGGAGCAACAGCTTCCAGTCAGTAGTAATGCTAAGATAAGTAAGTGACAAATAATATCGAGTAGTTTTACGTATAATGTTCGAATCGGAATGCATTAGTTGCATTTTGTAATGTTAAATTTTGATATTTCATCATAATCGTTTCATCAAGATTATTTTGTACATAGCTATAGCAGTATATATATGTACGTATAGATTATAGAAGTGTTGAAAGTATTTTTAATAACTTAAGTTATAATCTGTTTTGAATTTACTAAAAGTATTTAAACTATGACATGAAAGTTTCCCTAGCTCCACTTCGTAAAAACTACAGTTTTGCGGCAGAGTTTGTAGATCTCTAACTTAAGTTAAAGTTTATGTTTATTAAATCAGGTATTGCATCTATTAATAGGCAAATCAAGCCAATAGCATGAAATAAAAAATCGTAATGATCTCTTCAGTATCAGACGTATCATAATACGATTTCCGTGTTCAAAAATAAAATATTTCAGCTATTCCAGGTATCCCAGATTCCATAGCCCCAGCAATCATGGCAGCACGTGCTGCCGCGGCTGCATTGGCAGCGAACTTAAACAAGAGCAACGATGAAGTTCCTAACATTCAGCACCAACTCAACAAGTCCTCAACACCACCCCCACATGCACAGTTCTCCAGCAGAGGTTTCATTTTTTATTAGCAAATTGTTTTGTAAACGGATGTTACTTGTGCGAGTCAAGAATTTCTTAATAATTGGGAGTTGCCGAACCGGTAATCTGACAAAATAGTATGCCCGCTTAGTTTAGGAAGAGAGTTTCTTAATAACACCTCACTACTCACTAGTTACTATAACATGTAACGTGTTAATATTACAGAGGAGGAAGACACGCCAGAGCCGGAGAGTACTGAAAGTCACGACGTGGAGATGCAGGAAGACTCGGAGAGTGATAGAGAAGAAGCGCCGCCCTCCCAGCAGCCGGAGGAGAAGAGAGAAGAAGTGGCTCCGGGAGACTCGAACAAACCAGTGGCCATCAACAGTGTTATTGGGACACCTTGGTGCGTCGTCTGGACGGGGGATAACCGGAGTTTCTTCTACAACGCCGTGTCTAAGGAGTCTCACTGGGTAATGCCTGACGAGCTGAAGGATAATCCTCAAGTTGAGAAACTCCTTACAGAACCTCCCAAACCAAAGGGGAAAGGTAATGATTCTTACTATAGATTAGATTGTGTGTTGCGTTTGAACTGCTTGATTCGGTGAATTTTTATCTGTGTAATGAGATTCGTAAATACGTTATGAGATACGTAAATTATACGTTCATTTTCAAAGAATTGTTTGAGATTTATCAAATACTCATGTAACATGTAATGATTTCATCAAACCATTTCTTAGCTGAAAGCTGATCAAATAAAACAAAAATTATCTGATAAATATACATTTTTATAATGCTATTTATGATTTTTTCCCCTCCACATCTATCTACTCTCAGGACTAACTAAACGGGTGAGCTTAACAATAATTAAGGTTAAGGATATTAAAAAATCTCGTAGTACGCCTAATGTTCATTTAAATGCTTGAACTAGCTTCGTTTGAATTCAACGATTATGATCGGAAAATAAATCATACGAACAGCAAAAATTGTCAGCATTTGCATTTTCTATTCCTTTAACTTTTTTGGATTCTGAGACCACGGTTAGAAGACATCAACTCTGAAGACGTCCATGAATGTTCGACACTTGCTGCCGAACGATTGATATAAGAAGTCCATTTCATCGTACCGAGGAAGAAGACCTTATTGCTCACAATTCGGAGTTTCTGCAGTCGAGAAGATGATTAACTGTCAACATAATTAGAATTTCGAGAAATAGTACAGAAACACAGAAACTTAGTTTTTGTTTTATTTTATTTATCGCCTTTTTTAAATAGAATAACACTAGGGGAGATGGTTTTTAAGTTGAAACCAACTCCCACAAAAACTGGGCCTACAGTTTTATCGTTAACATCACTCCGTTATTTTGCGATATTTAAACATTATTTTGGCTCACAAAATCATCATAATACACAGCCGTTAAGTACAATACTTACTGGTAAAACTAAACTGTGTCAACATAACAATCTCATTCCTCAGGAGTCAATAAAAACGTTGTCTATAACCAAAACATAACAAATCTTATTGCAGGGTTTAGAAAGAGTTATCTGAGTTTTAAAGTACCCATCTTTTCAGAAGGTGCATCTCTATCAGAAGATCTGCCGGCTAGGAAAAAACCAAAGTACGTACCTTTCTGAGTGGCTACAACTGAATCCATATACAGTATATTTCTTTTGGAATGTATTTCAGTGCTATTCTTGCATTTCTTGGTTTATTAACCCGTTTCAGAGAAAACAGGTAAGGTAACCCTTTCAGCGACCTGTAAAACGCACTGATAGTTTCATCATATTAGTTGAGGAATGAAGGAGAAAGCGGGTCAAGACGAGTGGAATGAATCCTTCCTTTTTGCTACATTCAGCTAAAAGCTAATAATTCAATTCATTCCCCATTAACGAACCAGTTGAGAATTTAGAACGTACCGTAATAAGTTCATATTTAGCTAATTATAAAAATCGATCAATTAAGCAATTAGTTTAAAACATTACTTGTACAACCGTGACGGCAGTAAAAGTAACAAAAATCGATGGATTCTCTTTCAAGATATTGATTTCTTTTTTATTTACTCTCTGGCTATAATGACAGCCATTCAATCGATTCTAAAGAATTCTATATTCTTGAGAATTCTAGATAATTCTAGATTCTTATCAACTGTAGGCTGAAAGTCGTACAGCTTCGTGTCATGTGAGTATTGCGCGCCGTTTCAAAGTTCAGTGGATCAATCACAATGATCAAGAATCTTACAACTTCTTATTTTTTGGAACATCCACAAGGAACTTTTAAGAGGGCGGAAAGACTTACAAATTTTAAGGTGATGACCATCAAAGATTGTAAATCGTAATTAATATTTTGGGAGAGATCAAGGAGAAATTGTGTGCAGTATTGTGTTCCTTGTGGATGACTTCGGCCCAGACGTGACCAAAATCTTTGAATGATGACTAAGTTTGATGATAAATGATCAAAAAAAGTAAAACACCATACCAAGTATCATGTATTCACATATTTGTGCATTTAATCCTTAAACACTTTCACTTTACCCGTTTTTTTGAGTTTACAGATCAAAGGTATTTGGTGTTTTACTAAAAAATTTTAAATATTTTGTTTCTTACTTCCTATCATTCAGCTCCCCCATCCGGCGATATTATGTCACGGGTATCTCGTTAATATTGATCTAAGTGCAAGGTACAGTCTAACCACATTTTACACGTCAACTTACATAAAAAGCAATCTCCATTGAAGTCTATCATTTTCTCGATATTTCTCCTTATTTCTGCCCTAGTTTCATGTTCGTTCTAAAATCTGACTAGCTTAAGATCAATTCAATTACTGCCGTGAGGAATCAATTTTCGCAGTTATCGGGATTATATTTAAATCTTAAGAAGTGGAAATTGGTTAATATTTTAGTCACATTATCACATTATAACGGCTGTATGATTTCGCAATTTGAAGAAAAGTTCCCAAGTTTCAAATTGTTTTCTGATCCCGTCTGTTTATTTAAGGATTCCTGCTACTGTCATTGAGATGGTATTAAATTTTCAAAGCAAATGTTATGACAAATGTTCAATCAAACTTAAAACTAAACTTATCTGGTTACAACGATCCTTGCGAAAATTAGTTCCTGCTAAATTTCTTGGCCCTAGAACATAAAGGTTAGGCTACAAATAGCAATAATATTTTGAAATCAAGTTTTTGAAAAAAAGATCCCCCTAACAAGCTACTGACTGATGAATATTTTCAGTGATGTGTAACGATACTAACATAAACTCAAATACTATCACCCAGGAACCGGACAAGAGTAAAGAAACTTAATTAATTAAAATTTAGACACTTTACTGACGCTGAATAAAAACCCTCACTTCTGAACCCTTGCAGGTTGGAAAAGACTGTCCTTGGAAAGAAATCAGACGGGATAATAATAAACCTGTCTTCCTCTTCCCTTCCAACCAGTATTATAAATACAGCTTCTAGCGCTATTGATGAACCACAGTAAGTTGTGAAATATACTTTTAATGCAGCTTACCACTAGTTCCTTCCTTGAGACATAAAACTTAATTACTGAGAATCTTATTCTGATTAAGCAAAGTTTGCGACAAAATTATACATTTGTTAAAAGAGCATATTCTGTTCAGAGCAAAGCCGCCTGCAGAGAAGATCGAGCCTACAAAGTACCAAAAAGAAAAGATGTCACTAGAAGAGAGGCAGACTGCGTTCAGAGAAATGTTGCTCGACAGGGAAGTGTCCGCGTTCAGCACTTGGGATAAGGAGCTCCACAAAATTGTGTTCGATCCGCGGTATTTGCTTCTCTCGGGGCGGGAGAGGAAGCAAGCCTACGAGAGCTTCATCAAGAGTAGGGCTGAGGACGAGAGAATAGAGAAGAGGAATAAGATAAAAGATAACAGAGAGATGTTCAAGAAGTTGATTGACAAGGCTAATCTTTCGTCCAGGTAACATGTAATTGCATTGCAAATCACTGGGGTTTCATTTAGCACTCTGATCTATGTTCAGTATAAACTGCAGCTGATATACACTATTTTGAAATAATTCAACACTTTTCTCTAGCATCATTCATAATTTTCGAAAAATTCCCTCCACCTAAATGTTAATTCTAACATCTACGATTATTCCCTACTATAATAAAATGCTACACAAGTTTCATTTCAGAGCGACATTCAGTGATTTCGCCCAAAAGTACGGCAAAGATCCCAAGTTCAAAGCGATAGAGAAGATGAGAGAGAGGGAGCACCTTTTCAACGAGTGGAAGTCAGAACAGCAAGCTGAGAAGAAGAAAGAGGGAGAAGAGCCGGTAAAGGAGGAAGTAGTCCACGAGAAGAGGGAGTCCCGAGAGCGAGAAAGAAGTAAAGATAAGAGTAGAGGGAGTGGGGATAGGCACGAGAGTAGAGGGAGTGGGGATAGGCACGAGAGCAGAGGCAGTAGGGACAGACATGAGAGCAGAGGTAGTAGGGACAGGCATGAGAGCAGAGATCGACAAAGTCGGGACAGACGCGACTCAAAAGAATCCAAGGCGAAACAGGTTAGGACGACAGCATTGTATTTCTAGGCCTAGATTTGTTGTACATTTTTTGATATTCTTAGAAGATTTTGACAGTCGCTTGGTAAGATTCTGTCGACTTTCTCCAAAGATTATTGAAAACGAGTTTAGGTCGTGAAATGTACTGTCTACCCTGTCACTTGTCAGTATCTGTAGATAAGGATGTTGGAACGAAATTGATTATACTCTGTCACACCTCGTCCTAGCTATCGCAATTTCTGCAAACGAATTTGTAGGGCGCGAATATATTTAGATGAGGAAAGGAATTTAAATGCGCGCGCGGTGCTCGCTCGCGCGCAATTAAATGAAAGTCAGATCACATTGATAATGGCTAAGCTGGCGCATGTATCATGATTAGCTTCATTTTCAATCTGCATCCGGATCGGTACAAAGTGGTCATGTACAAAGCAAAAGGTGCCCCTAAATTTTTACCTTTATTAATTTCATTCTCCCCCTTTCTTTATTAAGTTGTTCCTCAGATCAAGGACGACTTCACGGATATGTTAAGGCACGGGGATGTGAGGATAAGTCCGGACTCTTCTTGGAGCAAGAAAAAGAAATATTTCGCCGACGATGAGAGGTTTGTTAGATTATCTGTTACTGCAATATTAGACGATAGTTATGCACCATATTTCCAAAGCCAGACAATTTACTCACTTTAACCGATAGATTTTCTAATTAAAATATCCCTTATTATTAGGATTCCGCTCTGATTGAACTGATTACAGGTACATAGCGGTCGGCTCTTCCTCTACCAGAGAGGAGTATTTCTATGAGTACACTAAGTCGTTAGAGAATAGAGAACCGGAGCTGAGTGAGACGGAAAAGAAGGCCATAGCAAGGAAGGAAAGGGAGGCGGCTGCAATGAAAAAAAGGGAGGGAGAAGTGGCTAGAAAACAGGTATGTTTTCTTTGTGACATTTTGCTAATTCGGAGACTGCGATACAGATCGAAAAAGCTGTAGTTTTGACGCACACCATATCCCATGCTCATTGCTCATGTATATTTTATGTTTAAGACTCTTGTTCAATTTTAGGTATTCATACATTTTTTCAATTGCTAAATATTATCCTGTCCTAATAACGACCTCTTGCTCGACCAGGTGGACCAGAATCGGGAATGGGAAAGAGAGCGTGGTGCTCACGCCAGGGAAGAGGCGCAGCAACACTTCTTAGCCCTCTTGCACGACATGGTGCGGGATGCAGATGCGTCATGGCGCAAAACCCGCAAACAGTTGCGAGATGATAGTCGGTGGGAGCTAGCTGCTTTGTTGGATGCGGATCAGAAAGAAAAGTTATTCTTAGAGCATATCGACAATCTTTCTAACAAGAGAAAACGGTCCTTCAAGCGGCTTCTGGACGAATGCGAGCATGTAAGTTATAAAATTGTTTAAAATAACTTTTTAACTGATCGCTTTTACAGTTATGGTTCGCAGCCGCAGTTATTTTAAAGATAAGCGATTCTTTTTGTCTGACTACATGTAACATCAATTAATCAGGTGACCCTGACGTCAACTTGGAAGGAGATCAGAAGGAAAATAAAACACGACCCTAGGTTCAGCAAATTCTCAGAAGACGACAAGGTTTGTCATATAAATTTATAAATTACTAAACTTAAATATAACTAAATATGGTGGCAAATTTATTTTAAAATGTTACCTTTTTACTTAAATGCTTCGTCTCTCTAAGTTTATTTCATATGCAATTGATTGTATCCTTGACGTAAATACGTGCCTTGTATAATGTATAAGTTTTCCCTCATTGTAGGAGAGAGAAGCAGAGTTTAGCAGGCACATAAAAGATCGGGTATCCCTCGCAAAATCGGACTTCAAACAATTGTTGAAGGAAATCAAATGTGTTTCCCACAAGTCGAAGGAAATATTACGTGGCCCAAACGGAGACTCCCACATGAGGGAAATTAGGCAGTTTTTAACGGTTGGTGTGATTTGTGCAAACTTCTTCTTAGTTCGAAATATGCTACCTTCTTGGTGTTGGTTATTTATCATAGAATTAGAAGAAGGATACAAGTTAAACTCATTTAAGTTTTAACTTCATTTTCTTTGTAGAACGATAAGAGAGGGCTTGTTTTGGATGATTTGCCAGAAGAGCGAGATAGGATACTAGACGATTATCTGGCAGAATTAGAGAAATTCGGACCTCCACCCCCGCCCACAGCAACTAGACCATCTAAACGATAAACTAAATTATATGTTTTAACCTTATCTTCACAGTTTCTTACTCACCCCTGCACTTACTGATTTCATTGAATAACATTCTAATATAGTTTGCCATAAATCGCTGAATCTGGAATTTGTGAGTGCAGTGAGGTGGCTCGATGTCATATATATTTTATTATAATTTATGTTTTGTTTTATTCTTTAAAAAGGTCGGATACTGATGCGTGGCTGGTTTAATGAGTTGTGTATGACAGTTTGTTATTTCAAAATTGATAAGGTTATTTTATTTTGTCTCACAACTCATAGCTACTATTAACTATATACAGAGGGGTGCCATATGTTTTTGTCATTTCTGATAATGACAATACAAACAGTGTTAAACTAACAATTTTCATTGGACCATAACTCTGCTTCCGGACCACCGATTTACAAAATTCAAAAATGACGTAGAAATTTGGGTCATTCGTGCTTCAGGAGAGAATGGCAGGCCCACAAATAAGGGGTTTGATCCGGGTGTGAGCCTTGTACTAGACACATTTTTCAGACTCGTAATTTGTAATTACACTGATTAACGGGTGATACTCGTAAAATATCAGTTCCATAACTCGGCGCGCGTCCTGGTAGGTTGCATGTAAACCTACAATTACACTGACTGCTGACAGTTTAATATCACGTGACGTGCACGCAAACTCGCGCGCTAAAATGCGCGCTAAAATGCGCGTATTAGAGTTACTATATATTAGGGGTACCCCTGTAGAGTTTCTACGATAAAGGGGGAGTTAAACCCGGGTTCCACTATAGTGAAACGACCGTGGGGGTCACGACGTGATACAAGAATATTTGGAAAAAATATTTTACGAGTATCACCCGTTTATGAGCTGTATATATAAAAACTATATTATAGTAGTAGTAAATCTTTCAAAGTACGAAATATCTCTTTAAAAGAGCATCCTAGGCACCTTATAGATATCAAAACGCATAAAAAAGAAAACAAAAACATCAACCATCTTCTAACTTCTTCCACTCCTCCCTATCTAAAGCTAAAAATCTAAGGTCTTCGAAATCAGTCAAATTCTTAAGTCTAATATCAAGATTTCTACTAGTCAAGTCTTTTCTAATAACATCTAATAAGTTTAAACATGGTCTACCCCGTCTCCCTTCCATAAAAATATCAGAATTTATAGCAAATAACATAGAGGTGTATGCTGGTGAGTCTTCCTGTCCTCTTAAGATATGTCCTAACATTCTCCATCGAAACTTAGAGACTCTCACAGACAAGGGAGTGACATAACAACGAGCATAGAGTGCCTCATTAGAAATAACCCCAGTAGGCCATCTGATGTTGAGGATTCTTCGGAGGTGTTTGCGATGAGCAATATCAAGTTCATTCAACGAAGCTAGTGGTGCAGCCCAGGAGTTGCAGTTGTAGAGTAGAATAGAGACTACTTGTGCCTCGTAGATTTTGATCTTCCTTTGGACTGAAATCTTGCTCTTCATCCAAACTTTCTGAAATTTACTAAAGGCAACATTACCAAGGAATATTCGATTCTTGATATCCTTAACAGTGCACATCAACGATCCTAAAGTTTTGTTAGAGCGCCACTCTTCATCACCTCTATACACTTTTCCAACAATCACCTTGCGTTTAACAGTGGGTTTAGGATCTGCTAAATAAAAATGGACAAATTCAGTCTTGGAAGAATTGATATGAAGGTCCCACTGCTGGAATATATCTTTAGCGATAGGAAGCATTTCTTTGAGTGGAGCAAGTTCAGTGTTATTAAAGTCAATATCATCAGAGTATCCTGTTTCGAGTGGCATGAATTCTTCTGAGATAGGAGGATTAGGGATTGGATGATTCACTGGGTAAGGTGTTGATGATACTTGGGAGAGTACAGATCTGAGGTGAATAAGTGCAGCGGCTTCAACAACAGTAAATTGATTACCTGATAGTGCATCTCCTTGAAATGCTCCAGTTGTGCTTTGGAACTCAATTGATACAGTATTATTGACTTTTACTTTCAACACTGTGTTTGATAGTAGGAGCCGTACCATCCTAATTTCATCACTAGTACAGCCAGCATCTTCAAGAACATTGAGTACTGTTTCTCTGCTGATGGTGTCAAAGGCACTTGACATGTCTATACTCATTCTGTGGTAGCTCCAATGCTTTCTAAGTACCACTGATATAACTATATTATAAGTCAATTAAATTACAGCCTCGAGTTCAAGTTTGTAGGGGCTCTGAGTTCAAGTCTGTATAGTAGGGGTAGCTCCTTATACAAAAATGTCACGCCGCAATCTCTCAACAAATTCTGAATATTAGGTTAGCAGCAGGTATGATGTTACCATCCCTCGAGCTGCGAGCTATTTCGTTTTATTTTACGCATTTCCATTTTCCTGGAATGTAGATATTTTTACTTTAATCCGATCGAGTTTGTAGATGCTTCATTATATTAAGTCTTATATTTTCTGCATTCTGCACAGTCTGATTTTTAGAATCTATATGGGCTGTCTAACAAATATCTTGCTCCTATTCCTAATCGCAGCGTTGAATGCAGAGTTATCTTCCTCAGTCGTTGATCTTGATCATAACCTGATTAGACAGATCACATAATTAGTTGATTAGATCCCAACTGAATTGTCTTACTCTAAATAAGCAACCCAGAGGGAAGAGGGACATTTTAATCGTTTGTGATCTTAAGTTTGGCTTCCTGGAACACTTTAAAGGGACATACACCAAGACTTTTTTTGCCGCGGGACACGGGAGGGGGGGGGGGGGGGGCCAATGGCATAAATGGAGAAAATGGAGAATTACTCATGGATTTTTCCATTTTCTCCATAGAAATAGTCTCCATTTTATGCCATTTTATGCCATTTTATGCCATTGAAAACCTGAAAAATTTAGAATTTCGAGAAAAATTATTAAAAAAAAAGATATTTTCGGCCAATAATGAACAGGGTATCATGAAACATGGAGAAAAGTGGTTTTCAGAAAATCTTTGAAAAATGTTGACTTAGAAAATGTTCGGTCCGAGTCATTTTCGATACGTACCTCCCGTATCGAGAGCTCCCGATTCCGAGCTCGTGTTGCAAAGGGGAGGCCTGCCTTCCGAGATCGCATTACCTCGAGTCCAAAATTGTGTATCGAAGGGAAGGTGTGGACTTCGAAAAACCGAAAAAATATTTTCGGCAAATAATGAACAGGGTAGCATGAAACGTGGAGAAAATGGTTTTCAGAAAAAATTTGAAAAATTTTGACCGAAAAATATTTTCGGCTTAAAATGAACAAGGTAGCATGAAACGTGGAGAAAAGTGTTTTACAGAAAAACTTTGAAAAATTTTAACTTAGAAAATTACCCCTCGGTACACAATTTTGGACTCGAGGCTTCCCCCTGGTAATGCGATCTCGGAAGGCAGGCCTCCCCTTTGCGACACGAGCTCGGAATCGGGAGCTCTCGATACGAGAGGTACGTATCGAGAATGACTCGGGCCGAAAATTTTCTAAGTCAAAATTTTTCAAAGTTTTTCTAAAAACCACTTTTCTCCACGTTTCATGCTACCCTCTTCATTATTAGCCGAAAATATTTTTTTTGGTTTATCGAAGTCTGCACCTACCCCTCGATACACAAATTTGGACTCGAGGCTTCCCCCTGGTAATGCGATCTCGGAAGGCAGGCCTCCCCTTTGCAGTGCGAGCCCAGTGCGAGCTTGTTTCGACTTTCGAGGATATAGGTCTCACTTCTCAGTGCTTATTACTCTCCCCTATTACTCACTCCTGCTGTAGCCTGTAGAAATAACTTTACACTAGGCTTCAGTAATTATGAGTTCGCCTGAAGTGAGCCTCTACTAACCTAGTATAAGCATCTAGTAGCCTACAATGAGCTTTCATAAGCTTGTTACGCCCCTAGTAAGCGTAAATAAACATGTTAGGATGTCCAATTTAGGTGTTAAATGGTGTTAAAGATGAAATTTCGAAGACAAAATTCATGGCATAAAATGGAGAAAATGGAGAATTACTCATGGGTTTTTCCATTTTCTCCATAGAAAAAGTCTCCATTTTATGCCATTTTATGCCATTTTATGCCATTGGCCCCCCCCCACACGGGATTTGAATTGAGTTGCGATACGATTTGTTAATTTAATATTGAATCCAATATGCAATACAAAAAGGAATTTCGATTGTCAAGTCACGTATTTTCCTGATAAGATTCTAGATAATTGCGAGCATGTAAGTTGTAAAATTGTTTTAAATTATTTTTTAACTGATCGCAAATACTGTTTGAGTCCGTTCCTAATATAAGTTCAATGAATACCTCACAGTACAGCTAGTTAAGGGGGCATTTTTCAGAATTTTGCCGCTAAATTAAAAAAAGGCCTTACTCAAAATTCCCGTTCCGTCCCAAAACTTAAGGTCATGAGGCAATTTTTCGTAGATTCTGAAAATTTCATGAAAAAATATTGAAACCCTATTGAGTTCTATTGTTTTGAGCGAAGTCAGTTTCACATATATCGCGAACTGAGATATGGGCAATTTTGTTCATTTTTTGCGATTATTTGAACTCAGAATCCACAGTGAGGTAGATATTGAGCTGACAATCATAGAGAATGTGTAGTTTAGGCTTACCTTTCATATAAAGTTGGTTTCATTCAAAAATATTGATATTTGACCAATTTATGGGCCAAAATCGATCAAATTAGGTGCGCATGCCCAAATATGGGTAGGGGAAGTAGGGGTCAAATGAAACGGGTACAAACTTTTGGATGCAACATCAATACCATACATTGGGATATACTCATATTGGGTACACAAGCTCTTAAGAACGTTCTAAACACTATCAACCCACTTCATTCATTAAAATTCAATAATTGTTTATTTAATTAGATGTTTCATTTGACCCTAAGAATTACTGCATTTCAAATTACCAGGGTCAAATGAAACAGGCCTCCTCAGGGTCAAATGACTTCCCCTACAGGTTGAGAACTGTAGGGGAAGTAGGGGTCAAATGAAACGGGTACAAACTTTTGGATGCAACATCAATACCATACATTGGGATATACTCATATTGGGTACACAAGCTCTTAAGAACGTTCTAAACACTTCATTCATTAAAATTCAATAATTGTTTATTTAATTAGATGTTTCATTTGACCCTAAGGGGTACTGTTTCATTTGACCAAATCGTATAACTATATGGTGAGAGTTTTTCAATACAGCATGTTAATTGTATGTTCCTATGCTTAAAAACCACTAGAATACTTAAATACGATCACTAATGTTGAAGATTAAATCAAGAAACATTCGGTAAATGTAATTGGTTCAAGCACAGAGGCAACAAATGTTAAGCGCAACATTCTAGGGAAAGATGAAGTGGAGAGGAAGTAGATTGTAACTCTATAATCAACTTTTCTCATATATTCTAGGAAAGGTATATGTAATAGGTAATTCAATAGAAGTCGATCCCGCCTGTTTTAAGCCATGACAAGTTAATAGTACTAGAGATATAGCCGTGTTTCATTTGACCCTGGTGTTTCATTTAACCCCAGCTTCCCCTATATAGTTTTTAGCTCATAACTCAGTCATTTTTTGTCCAATCTTGATGAAATTTATCCTCTCTGACCTTACGCCTACGGCTTACACTGAGCCACAAATTACAAATATAAAATATGTTGTGATTTGCTGTGTTGATATACAATATATATCACGGGTAATATCACATATCGACAGTCTTGGAATATTTGGAAAAAATATTTGACGAGTATCACCCGATTATGTGCTGTTAAAAGGGTGATGATTGATTACTCTACACTCGACTGTCACGTGACTTTTTCAACCCGTTCTCTAGCTGGTCCTGAACGACTGTTCGAAACCCTAACCCTCTAATTGCTAATCTGATCCCAACCCTAACCCTAACCCATCCTTAACAAAAGCATATGCTGAAACCCTAACCCTAACGAGAAATTATACTAACTTCCTTATACGGTCATATCTCGTGATCGAGACAGTTTTTCGCCAATGTCTCGTCAGGAGAGCATTTTTACAATTACCCGATGTCATGGGGGTGATTCGGAATCAGCGTTCGAAAATACATCGATTGAAGTTGGTTTCAACTGTCGGGGGCCCTTTTAGAACAATCTCGAAGATCAAGTTCAACTGTAGAGTAATTTAGCACGCTCGCTGTTAGAAGTTAAAACCCGGAAACTAAAGAACTATAAGTATACTATAAGTCAATTAAATAACAGCCTCGACTCCTCGAGTCTGTCAAGGGGCTCTGAGTTCAAGTCTGTAGGGGTAGCTCCTTATACAAAAATGCAAATCAAATTAAATTTCTTCCATTTTCTGCCTTGACCTTCCTACCAATTGAGTTGCGATACTGGATACGATTTCTTAACTTAATATTGAATCCAATGCAGTGAGGAATGTCGAGTCACTATTGTCAAGTCGCGTATAATTTTCCTAATACATATTAAGTTTGATATACCTATTACCTAGCTGAGTCCCGCGGCGGGTCATACAACTTAACGGGTGATACTCGTAAAATATCTGTTCCATATATTATACCGTCGACGAGTCCAACTTGGCGCGCGTCCTGGTAGGTTGTAAACCTACAACATACAACGTATGACAAGATCATTATAATTCAAAATTATGGATGATGGAGAGTTATGGGCAAATTTTAGGTTTATAACCTACCAAGACGCGCGCCGAGTTGAACTCGTTGATGGTATAATATTTGAAACAAATATTTTACGAGTATTACTCGTTAATCCCGATTTTGAAGTCCACACCTCACCCTCGATATACGATCTTGTCGAGGTTCCTCCTTTGTAATGCGATCTCGGAAGTCAAAACTTTAATAAATTTGCCTGGAAACTAATTTTCGAAAATATTTTTCAGGACCTAGCCCTCGAGAATTTTTCCTCGACATTATAATGAAATTTCTGATTGATATCCGGCATATCACCTTCTAAACTACTTACTTTAGTCGGATATCCGATCAATTTATAAATTTTGTCACTATCGGAGTGAAATTTGAATTAAAATATTGTCAAATTGTTATTATTCTAGAGGGTACTAAAAAAGGAAATGTTGATTATGTAATCAACGGCCAAACCCCCCCCCCCCCCCCCCGTAATCAACCGTAAGCATTTGATAACCTCCTCCCCCCTTGGCTGATTACGTAATATTATGCGAAAGACCCCTAACTCAATCGAATTTGTAACCCCATTTTTCTTATAGTTTTTGAGCAATGAAGCTTCTGCTACTAGTACTACTTGGAGCCGTGATCACGGTGAGCTGTGCTTCTGAAGGTACATACTCCTACAGTGACCAGGCAGCTTGGGACGGAGTCTGTGCCACTGGTAAACACCAGTCTCCAATAGATATAAATGAAGTTAAGAACACCGTTTACTACGGCTCCGGGATGTCATTATTCGGTGGATATAAATCAATTATTATTGAAAAAGGGAGTCTAAAGACGACGAGGTTCGTCCTAACAAGCACCCCTATATACAAGACTATGCCACAAAACTGGCCGGTGGGTCACACCAAAGGTCTTCAGGCCCTTCATGTGCAATTTCACTGGGGAAAAGGAACGGCAGGGTCGGAGCACATGCTGAACGGCAAGCAATTTATCGGAGAGATACATGTGGTGACCAGGAACCTCGACCAGGATGACGAGACAGCAAGCGATTACTACGCTGTATTCGGATTCTTCATGAAAGTGGTGACTGGAAATGAGTTACCGGACATGTTCAGTAATTCCCTTGCAGCAATGCTTTCAGGAAGCAGTCCTATCCTGAATATGGATGATCTGTTTTCAAGATATAATAAAGCTATCAAGAGTGTTTTCACTTACGAGGGAAGTTTAACAACGCCTGGATGTGATGAGACGGTGTTCTGGCAGGTGATGGAGGAACCCATTTTGGTCACACAAGATGCGTTCAACAGCCTTCGGACATCGGGAAGTGATAGGGTCGACGACGCGAATAATTTTGAGTTCAACTACCGGGAGATTCAGGAGTTGAACGGACGACACATCACACACCGTCTGCTGCACCAAGCGATCACAACCCCGGCTGATGGTGGTGACTCGGAGGAAACCCCAGCTGATGGAGGTGACTCGGAGGAAACCTGCAAAGTTGACTGTCATGCAGCTCAGCAGACGTGCATGTGGACCATGAGCGGAGCTGCAACATCTCTTCCTTCACTCGCTCTTCTCTTCGCAGCACTTTTCTATCTCATGTAGACTATCTCGTAGACATGACAAACTATTTTTATCCTTAGATACAGTAGTTCTTCACTTGTGGAATACACTTGTGTAATACGAAAAGACTGAGCGTTTTTTTCCCGTGATGGACAAATCCTGTACATGCTCTGTTAGCTTTTAATATCTGTTAGCGTTTATATTGATAAAATTAGCACAATTAGCGATACACTATACAGGCCCGGAGGTCGCTATGTCATGAGACAATATTAGTATCCCGTATTTTCTTAACTAAATTTTAGATCTGTTTACTTTGAAATAGTACTCTTTAGTCGATAGTAATTATATATTTACTTTTAACAATATAAAATATAAACAAACTTTCATACATAGTTTCATTGTGTCTTTTCGGGATGATAATTCCACATTCAAGCAGAATTAGGGGCCAGCAGGCAACGTTACGCCATTGCCGCCCAGTATTAGAAAAGCAGTTTCTGCAGTCAGTACTCAGCAGTGCATGAGCTAGATCAAGGAGCCGGCAATCGATTAAATTTAAAGATCAGTCGGCTGTACTACAAGATATCATGAAGTTAACTTGAAGAATACTGCAAGGTATCCTTAAATTAACATAAAGAAAGCATGAAGTTGACCTGAAGTTAGCTATGTGTCATCTTCCAATAATATCGGTCCCGATATGCGATATTTCAAATCCTAACTCCGCTAGGATCTGCTCTCGGATCCCATAAGATTTGCATTTCCGATCTGGTCCGAGAGAAAATCCTATCGCTTCTCGGGATTGACATATCCTATCGCCGATTTGATAGGATTTCATCGGCGGTATCTTAGGGGCCATCTACTAAGGACCGAGGACGTTTCTCGAATTTTCAAAACCCCCTCCAGATTTTCCTACATGTAATGCTACAATCGCCCTTTTGAGGGCCGTGATCTAATTAAGCCAGGCCAGTGAGCGCGCCGGATCGACGTCGCGTGCGCGCCAACTTCGTCAACATGATGTCGTTAGGTTTTCGCGTCACATTATCGATATTAGTAAGAAATGAGTCCTTCACTTCCTATCATACCCAAAATATACCAGAATAGTCAGTTTAAATCATCCTCTACCTACTTAAAACACATTCTCAATGGAAACTATTTTCCAAAGGCAGTTAAAATGGATGCACAGAAAATTTTAGCGCATGAAATTAAAGATTCCGTAATGCTAATGAATCAAAAAGTAATAAATTTATACATCAATTCATGAAATAAATAAACCTGCAATATGAAAAATTATATATTCATCGGAATGAATTTTAATTATCTGTGTAACTCAATCCCAGTTTCCCTGCTGTGGAAAGAAAAACCTTTGAATCACTCTCACGTCATGCATGTACTTCCTGATCCTATGAGGGGAAGCTATGTTATTGAGACTTTGGACGGCTATAAAACTCCTGTTTTGAAGATCGTCTTCTGTACTCGTATCACTGACCCAAGCTTTTTAGAATATTTACTACGCATGCGTGATTCGGACGAAACCATTATGTTCTGTTTCCGAAGAATTGAAATTTACTTAGTTCAGTAATATCCAGACATTGTATTTGATAAGGTCCGAGAGTTGGCAGGAAACCGAAAGCACTGGAGACAGATGATACGACATAAGCGGCAATTCCTTGGTGCAGGCCACTCGAATGATTGAGGAGACCTTATCAAGTATCAAGTAAGAAGTAATATCTATCCTTGTAGAGTTTTGTGAAGAGTTTTGTAAAGCGTGATACTGAATATTATTACTGATATAGTTGATATTGTCTATTGACTAGTCTAATTAGAGAGGCCACACATTTCTTCATATCCGAAGACTCACAGCAAAACCAGGCTGTAAACGGTCAATATTATATATGCATTCTGACAAAACTTTACTACAATGCTTAATCATCAATTATTAGTGAATGAAATTATTCAATATGGGAAAATGGGTAAAACTAAGTTTAAATTAAAATTAAAACTGTGGCCAAACTATAATTATGCTCGACCACATTTCTGCTCGCTCTGACTTATAATTCAGTTTTTGTGTCTGCCATGCTCTGTCTTAAATCCTCCTTTGCGAGCCTCTTTACTTCCTCATTCCTTATCCACATCTCTTCGTCTCCTCTGTCGTGTTCCTGGCCAAACACGTCCAAAATCCCGTCCTTATCTCGTACGTCATACCAAGAAACTGTCTCTCCATCTAACGAGAACATGTCAAAAAGTTCGCCTCCAACTCGTAATGAACCATCTATCTTTCTGTATGCCTCAACAAACTGATCTCTGTTCACTGGACCGTAATACGTAGCGTCCTTTAGAACATTCACCACATCTCCCTTAGGAATGTGATAAAATTCACTGTTCGGATCGTTGGAGGGGTCGTAAGACTGAGCCACTGTCAGCTGCCGCCAAATCTCCTCCGGCAGAAGATCAAACAAATTCCTATCAACATTCTCTGAATCACCCAAAACTTTCTCCTCTACAAGGAGCTGGTGGAATAGCTCCTTCATGTAGGGGATTACCCCTTCGTCATCTATCAGAAACTCGATATAATCTTCCATGGGAACACTCTCTGAAGCATCTCCCTCGGTCATTTCCATGAAAATTTCGATGAACCATTCCCTGACATGGGCAGGGTCAGAGTTCCCCATGCTCATCATACCGCTTCCTGGGTATTTCCACTGGACTGGCACGGTATCCAGTGGAACAGCGGCAGTGGGCTGCTCACAATCTGGCATGTCAAATTCAGATTTGGTACCGAACAGGAAGGACACTGCAAAGTTCCTGTCTGTAGATTTGACTCGGTGATAATACCTGCAATAAGTGAGATTAATAAATAATTTGTGGAGAGATCTTAACACCCTATCTTCATAAAAATGATTTATTAAAACGTCTAGCGGACCGGAGTGTAACCGTACCACAAACAATTCACAAGACAGGACATGAAGACACACTGACCGTGGGGGTAGGTAGAGACAATCCCCAGCATGAACTGTAGCGTACTCCCAGGGAATCTGGGAAAAGAGCGGGAAAGTTTTGTAGTTTACACTGTCAGGATTAACGAGGGAGAAACCGCCTTGATCCCCGTCTATCTGTAATTGTTATGATGTTTACAGAACGAGGTTATTAAAAAATCTTAGAGTTTTATGAGATCAGATGATTTAAGTAAAAAAAAAACAAGAGGTACTGGGAGTAAAAATCTCGGAGAAGTCTTCGCAGAATAGAAAATCGTAAAATATACTGGGAGTTTTGATTCCGGCCGAAGAAAGCATCCCAGAGAAAGCATTACAAAATGGAAAAATCATATTTTCACATTTCTGTCCCATTTTCAAATAAATGAACCGAAATTTCACACATTTTACGGAATTTGTATCCAGTTATCGATTACTCAATAACTTCAGATAGTATAAGACCAATTGAGTTCGTATGAACTCTCAAATTTTCAATATATCGATGAAAATGTGGAAAACTTTCTTAAATCTTATTAACTTGAGGGACCCACCTCCTCTGCCTGATAGATCCATTCATTGTAAGTGTTGTTGATGAAGATCCAGTCTTTGGAGCCGGCTAACAGGCAGTTTAACTGGTTATGTGCATCCTGAGAGAGTTTTGTTGTGTTGTATGACAGTAAGTAAAGCTGTACTGCTATACACTGCTATACACTGATACACAGTACCTATAGAGTAATGAGGCCCCTACCTTGTGTAATGTGTATGATACTTTTCATTGTACTGTACAAGGGATCGTTCACATATTACGTAATCAGCTGAGGGGGGAGGGGGTTTCCAAATGATTACGCTAGTGTAATTTTGACACAATAGCTATGTGTAGAAATTATTATGTGTAGAAATTATTACGGACGCAGGAGGGGTTAAAAATTGGCGAAAAAGTGATTACGTAATATGTGAACGACCCCTAAACATAGTACTATACCATACTTTACTAAATGGGGTCCCTATACTAACTTGTGTATGATACTTTTCATTGTAGTGTACTGTAAACATAGAACTATCCTATATTTTACTAAATGAGGTCCCTACCTTGTGTATGATGCTCTTTGCACCACCGCTATTAATCCACATGTTCATCTCAACTAGGCTGTCTTTCAACGTGCCACAGTTCATAATGCCTGGTAATATAAGATCTTTGTACATCGGTTCTGGCACCTGAAAATGTATGATATTACAGAAGCTAATTACATGTTTGAGGAACGGACAATGGTTAGTGTTGTTTTCTAATGGTCCACAGCCAGCTGTTCATAATTGAGTGTTATTAGAGAATGATTGAAATTACATAGAGCAGTAACGATTACTGAATATTGTTTAAATGAGTACTGAGTTAAGACGATGAAGTTCATCGTGTGGCTCGCTCATTAGTTGGTGTGGTCGGAAATCAGTTTGAAGCAAGTACTCTATTATTAGTTTACAAGTACCCTAAAAGTACTCTACAATTACTCTACATAGTCTACAAGTAATCTACAAGTACTATACAAGTACTCAACAAGTATTCTACAAGTAGTCTACAAGTAGTCTATAAGTAGTCTACAAGTAGTCTACAAGTAGTCTACAAGTAGTCTACAAGTAGTCTACAAGTAGTCTACAAGTAGTCTACAAGTAGTCTACAAGTAGTCTACAAGTAGTCTACAAGTACTCTACAAGTACTCTACAAGTACTCTACAAGTACTCTACAAGTACTCTACTAAAAGCCAGAACTGACCTCAGACACACAGTACATGTTATCAGTTTTGTAACGTCTGAAGAACTCGCTGAAAGACGCCCGACCCAGCCCTACTTCCCCAAGAGGAGTAAACGTCTCTTTCTCTGTCTTTGCTTCCAACCGCACCTCTAGGTCTCCAAAATGTTCCTATAAGTAAACAGTGATCAGAGGATCTTCTCCGTAATTATGATTAATAATCACATATAACATGACATAGTGGAGGTATGCACTATATTATAGCTAAACTTGAGGTACCTGCTGACCGATTGCTATTTCCTTTACTCGCCCAAACAGCTGTTAATTAACTACATTTATATAAAAAATCCTCCGCAACAAACCGTTATGTATTCATCAGACCAGAGATCAAAAGCAGGAAAACTTTTAGCCAGACCCCTCAGAATAACAGGAGTCCTGGTTCTGATGTATTTCTCATAAAAATACTGGGAGGTTATCTTGGTGTAGTCCTCCTCTACTGCGGGGGTTTTCAGGTCGTTGTGCTCCCCCAGTGGCTTACCGTGCCCAGAGGGAAGTGCATTAGTCACGTGATTAGTAACATGTTGTAGTGTTATCAGTAGGGTTAATAGTAGGATCATGCTAATTTCATCCTGTTGAAGTAAAAGATATACTTTTAGTTGGGTGTGTTTCAGTGTTTTCATTTAGGACCAACTTGGGTCAATACAACAATTATTTAATAAACAAATACTATAGTTAAACATAGAATTATTAAATTTTATTTCTGAACGCAAACAATCAATGTTGACAGTCAGTGCAGTAAAACCCGATTTGAAGATAAAACATCAAATTTGTCGTTTAAATTTTTCAAGATCCATCGATACTTATATTGAACTTTAAAGGAATACAATAGGCAATAAAACTAGGCCCTTTTACAGCTATTATAGCCTAGCTTATTTGGATACTTTTATGAACTGTAAGATAGATAAAACCAGCAGGATGTTAAAAGTTGAATGATAATTCATTATTATAAATATTTTGGACAAAGTCAAATAAATCGTATTTTTTCACCAATATTATCTTTATTCGAGAATGTAACAATGAATTCTTGATCGTGATTTATCTGTAATTGTCATAATGCCATTCCCAATTCAAATCAATTGATTGGCCCTTATCCAGAGACCTGATCTGAGATAAATTAAATTTATAGTAAGGTCACTGTATCAAGTAGCAAGTGTCACATGAACATATCATCATGATCGAACATATTTCTCCTACCAGGAGGTAAAAGATCGTCATTATCAGGCCCCCTACCCCCAGGCCCGATGGGATCGTATCTAGCTCCAGGAGGCACCCCTCCCCAACCTCTCCCCATCATGGGAAGACGACCTCTCATAGGATCCATTATCATACCTCCACCACCACGGTTTCCAAACGGATCTAAATCTGCTCCTCCAACAGCAAATGGGTCAACTATTCTGGGAGCTCGGGGATGAAATCGTTCGTCTCGGAGAGGATCAGGAACTTGAGGTTGGGGTTGAGGTTCAGTTCTTGGCCTCTCTGTAGCGGTAGAAGTTGTGGAACCAGTTGGTTTCAGTTCTGGAAATAATGGCTCCAAGATATCCTCACAAACTTTTCGCTCAAAGTTACCAAGACTTCTGGTTTCATAAGTATTCTGAGCTTCATCAAAGTTTTCAACATAGTCTGAGATAGGGAAATCTAATGTCTTGAGGTCGTTATTATAAATGATGTTCACAACCATTGAATTGTTCATTAGCAAGCATTTTACCTCGATGCTCTTCTCGTTTTTTGAATATTTCAATGAAACAATGTCTGAGCTTTCGTCCCATTTAAAAGGTAAGCTGACTTCCCCAGAGGGGAGTAGAAAACCTTTTTTCACAATGGCATCGTGGAGTAGTGTGTAGGCTGCATGGAAGGGTGTCTTAGCCCTGCGCTTATATTCCATGAACTGCTTATATATCCTAGAGTAGATTGTTAATTTAGAAGTAAAAACCTCTTTCAAGAAAATAACAAATTTCAAGAAAACAACAAATTTGTATTTAAATCAATTATAGCAACATTTATAATAGGACACTACAATTATTCCATTATTCGAGAATGTAAACAATAATTTTAAAAATCAGTAGTGCTTGCAATCAGATAAGCGAATGAGTTTCAAAAAGTTCCAATTAAATCTTTACAACATGGGCAGAATATTTTCGGACATTATCAAATAATACCAAAAATCAATATGTACGCTTGGTTTTGTAATTTGTATCTGTTGAGCTCCTAACTCCTACAAAGATCTTTGCCACTTCAATAGATATTTGGTCAACAGTTTTGTGACGATACAAGGATACAATTAGTGGTAATTACTTTATTGAATACACAATAGTACAGGGTGGCCCATAAGTGACTACCCACACGCAACCTCTTAATAACTCGCGTAATTCGTCTCCAAATTGCACCAAAATTTCAGAGATTATAGATATGGGTCAAACTTAGATTTCCTGAAAGTTTCGTAAGCCACGCCCAATTACAGTGGGCGTGGCGTGACACTCCCTCTTTTTCACTATTGTCTTCATAAAATGAGAACGCTTTAAGCTAAGAACTCAAAATTTTTTGCACACATTTGGCTTGATAATTGAAAACTTTTCCAAAAGTTTCAAGTTCATTGGTTAAAATATGGCTGAGTTATGACCATTTTAAAATCCATCGGATATGTGATCCGAGCACTCAGTCAGTGATATTTGCACTCAATTAGTGATCTCGTCACCCAATCTGATCAAGAGTAAGGCGTTAGCGTGTATTAATGAGGTTCATTAGACTTTGATTGGATACCGATGATGTCTTTGCTAGAAAGGAAAACACAAATTTTTAGGATAAATCAATAAATGAAATCAACTAATAAAAATTCCCACACAAAAACAATTCAATAATTTCAATTAAGATGTTCAAGGAATGTGTTGGCGAAATCTATCCTCGATTGGAAATCACGGTCCAAAAGTTTGTGTTTCTTTGTGATTCGGTAGGCCCGGTTAGAAAGGTCTTGCTTTAGGATTCGCTGAAGGGTTGTTCTGCTGAGGTCTAAGGCAGGAGCTCGTTTCCGGGTGCCAATCTTAGGTGTGTCCATCACGTCACCAACAACCATCGTGATGTTTTCTACAGTCCTCGCAGTTCGTCTTCTGCCGACTCTTCACCGATCGTGTGCAGAAAACGTAAACTTGATCTTGTGATGAATGTCAAAGCAGCTTTTCCGGCAAGGGGGTGGTCGGTTGAATTTCATCTGAAATTGTCGTTTAATCTGAGGGTAGAACTCCCCATTTTATTTCTTCAGGTAGACGAACAATCGTTGTTCTGCAGTAAAGGGAGGATAGTGAACCATTTTTATTGATTGTAAGGAACCTGTGACTAGCAGGGCTAACAAGCCCTGAAATGGTGACACCACCATAAATTCGTGTGATAGCGTTTTAGGTGCTGTCAGCTGTATAGGCCGGCCCATAAGCAGGCTGCAACCAATCAAGCGGTGCATGTGAGCCAAACAGGCCATTAACCAAGTGACGAGATCACTGACTGAGTGCTCGGATCACGTATCCGATGAGTTTTGAAATGGTCATAACTTAGCCATATTTTAACCAATGAACTTGAAACTTTGGGAAAGGTTTTCAATTATCAAGCCAAATGTGTGCAAAAAATTTGGAGTTCTTAGCTTAAAGCGTTCTATGAAGACAATAGTGAAAAAGAGGAAGTGTCACGCCACGCCCACTGTAATTGGGCGTGGCTTACGAAACTTTCAGGAAATCTAAGTTTGACCCATATCTATAATCTCTGAAATTTTGGTGCAATTTGGAGACGAATTACGTGAGTTATTAAGAGGTTGCGTGTGGGTAGTCACTTATGGGCCACCCTGTAGTAATTATACTAAAATAATTTTAGTTACAAACAATTCTATTTATTTATAAAGTTATAAATATGTAGGAATAGTTCAGAAATGTTATGCTAGTCTAAAAATAAATCAAATTTGCAGTGTTCAATTTTATTTTGTGGTCCTATTGCATTATGCAGTGCCCACTGGCCAGTATTTGAGTGGAAATCTGTGCTCTTATAGTAGGCTGTATATTATTCATTCATATAGAGAATTGCATGGATTGCTCTCGCTGTGGTAATAAATTTGACAGGGCCAGCAGTTTTATTTGACAGCAGTGATTAATGATTTTGATCTGCGATTGAGTGAGGTTTGATAAGTCCAGTAGTCATTATTGTTGATGGATTGTGATTCCAAGATAATAGTTTTACAGCATAGTTTTACCAAAGATACCGAAGTAGTGAGGATTTCCCCAGTTTCATTTCAATCCGTTTAAGTATGCTTTTCCACAATTTGGAAGCTATTTAAAGAAGAGCGTTGGGAGGATTATGACATGGCTTCAGTCACGTTTTGATGTGTATATGGTACTTATTATACAATGAGTGTGGACTGTGGAGTGTGTAATTTCACGATTCGAAACATTTCAGAAGTACAATGGTACTTGTATAAGTTTTGAACAGTGAGCAATTTGAGTCGATTAAAAATGGGCTTGATGTGCTCTTTCTCGAAGAAAGCAGCTCCTAAGTGTAAGGTCTGGCCCGTGCACAAGTTGCATGGTTGTCTAGGTTATAAATAATTTATCATTTGGTTGGTCTCTTCAACACACATGAAATTGTGCGCATAATCTGTATTTTCACCATTGTATTAATGACATCTTTAAAGTCTTGAAATATTGAACCCCTATATCACTGTACTTCCTCTTTGATATGCCAACCAGACTTGGAAAAGAGACACTCATTCTTACGCCCAAACCATCAGACAGTTAAGCTGTGACGTTTGCGTTCCTGTGGTAATCTGGTTATCTTTGTGTTCTTATGGTAATTCAATGAGTCCCCAGACATTGGTGTGCAGCGACCCTATTGGCTATTTAGGGATCGGATGCATTCTCTCTCCTCATTTGGTTAGTGGGGCTAACATCAGTCACACTGATATAATTTTCGCTACAGTAGATAACATTAAAGTTTATTTGTCTAAAAACTGTCTAAAAACATACCAGTAACCTTCTTTTTGTGCCTATGCACTCTGTGTTTTATATTATAATTTTTGTGGAATAAACACATGTAATTGGTGACCTTTGCGTCCCTGTGGTAACTTGAGGAGCTCTAAATTCCAAAGGTAATCTAATAAGCAAGACTTTGCAGAATAATCAGTCTGGCAAAATGACAGTGAAAGGTTCACACTCCCTTCTCATTCGATAACAGAGTTAACATCCTCATATTCCCACCTATCTAATTTCTGCTGCAGTAGTATAAAACATTCACCCTGATGATATTGTTGGTATGCAAATTGTGCCTCATCCTGTAGGCCAGCTCTAGCACTGAACCTACCTTTTGAACTTATTGAGAAGTTTAGAAGTAGGCATCTTCACAGTCATCACACAATCTGTGTGATGACCATTAGTTTTCTGCTCTGTATCCAGGGACCAGGAGTAGGAGGCTTGTTTAGGAGGCTCATCTACAAAGTTTCCGTGAGATGTCTTGAAGCTTGCCAGAGAACATTCCAGAATCTTCAAGCTCTCTCTGCAAATGAGAAGTCATGGGCAGAGCTGAGCGAGAGAACCAACTGATGCTTTTCATGTGAGAGAAGGGAGTATTACTTTAACTCCCAGTCTGGCATTCTCTTTGAACTACAAATATATTACATCTAGATCATTTGGACATATTACACCTTCGAGGACTTAATGTAGCATTCTTGCAGGGATGTTACTTTCAGTTCCTTCAGTCTATTCAAATAGTCGATGTCTCCAAGCCCTAGAATTTGTCCAATGGCGTTTGTATGCTCTCAATAGACTGATCTTGTTAGGATTCCAGAGCGGGCAGTGCAGCAGGATTCCACTTTGGACCTATTTAAATTCTTTTTAAGATGCCATCTGACGTGCCTTGTCAACCATGATATTGTTATGTGGTTTCCACGAATAATCATTGGACATGTTGACTCCTAAGTTAGGTACTAATGGGCTTTTTCTACAACTGATCCATTTGAAATGGTGTAGTTTGTGAAGTCAGTCATAAATGGCAGCTCCTCTGAAAGTATTTTAGAAGCAGTGCAGGTGTTCTATAGCAAACAAGTTCAAACTTGTTTTCATGCAATTTCATGTTGTCGTCCTTGGACCATCGGATGATCTTGTTCACATCTTATCATTTAAACTCAATACGTAGCACTGCAGTGATTAGTATTTTTTGGTTTTGATTTTACTTTTCCATTCTGCCATATACTAATGCAGATTCACTTATTATATTATTTGTTTGTTTTTGTGAACATTTTAGGCTTGTCTATCGATACGACATGTGATTGGCATGGTGATCCGAATAGAATGTTATAGTATAAACGTGCTTGCCTTCTAGCAATTCGCTGTAAGTATTTCATTCTCATCTGTTATCGTTATTTTGTAGATAAGGTAATTCAGATATCAACTGTCAACTATTATAGTGTACTAGACACCCGCTAGTCACAAACTATATTCAAGTAAATGTAAAATCAGTTATGTTTTAATTTGCTTTCACTCCTTCATCCTGAAAATCAAATGTGTCTAATGTATCTAATGCTGACGTAGGTAAGCCGGCTAATATCGCCCCTGTTGATACTTTCGTAGCAGCTACGCTCCGATGGTTTGGCCTTGTGGTAAGGATGCCAGAAGAAAGAATACCCAACTATCTTCTGCACTGGATTCCAAAGCATGGTAAAAGGTACAGTGAAGAGGTAGACCTCGGAAAAACTGGTTGTCATGTGTCCGGGAGGATGCAGCAATCTTCACTGGTGTCGAGCAACAGACAGGGTTCACTGGAGAGATCTAATACACCGGAGAAAGGAGTTACTATGTGGCGCAGGCCACTCCAACAACTAGGAGGAGACCTTTTCAAGTAAAAGCAAGTAAGTCACTCCTTCATCAAGCTCCATATATATATAT